TAATTCTAAGGTTTTATGTTGTTGTTGACCTCTTATGGATGATCTATCTATTGGTAAGAATGGACAGTTGAAATCTTCCATTATTATTGTGTTGGGGCAAGGTCTACCAGTGCTTGTAAACCCAGAAATGATTTGTTGTTGTTGTTGTTGTTTTACTTAGTCTGAGTGTGCTGCTGTTTGGTGTATATATGTTAACAATTGCAATTTCTACTTCATGAATGGTTCCCTTTATTAATATGAGGTAGTTTTGACTCTTCTGACTGATTTTAGGTGATAGTCTATTTTAGCAGATATAAGTATGGTTTCTTCTACCCTCTTTCATCATCTATTTGCTAGGAAGGTCTTTTCCTTCCTTTCACTTCACATCTGTGTTTATCTGTCAGTGTAATGTGTTACTTATAGGCAACAAATGGTTGGATCATGTTTTTTGATCCAAGTTGCCATTCTACATCTTTTGATTGAAGAGTTAAGATTTTTAACATTCAATGTTAATATTGAGAGATACACTATATTTCCTGTCATTCTATTTATTTTGTTTTGTTTGTCATTCTTCTTTCTTCTTCCAGCTTTTCAACTATGTTCTTCTTGTAGGGTTTATTCTTTTCTGTATTTTCTGTATTTGATTTTCTTCTTTTGTAGATAGGATTTAGTTAAGTATCTGTTGCAGTGTTGGTTTAGTAATCATGAATACCTTTCATTTTTGTTTATCATAGAAAGTCTTATTCCTCCATTAATTTTGATGGACAACTTTGCTCAGTGAAATAGTCCAGGCTGGCATTTGGTGTCTTTCAGGACTTAATAATATCTTCCCATGCAGCTATTATCTGTTTAGAAATCTGCTTTTATTCTAATGGGCTTGCCATTTAAGTTGCTTGTCTCCTCTCTTGTGTGACTTTCATTGTTCTTTCTTTCTCTATATACTTAATGTGCTTACTATAATGTCTCTGGCAATGTTTCTTCTCTGATTTTTCCTGTTTTGCATTCTCAAGGTTGGAGAAGGTTTTGGCCATCATTTTCTTCCAATACAAACTATGCCTTTAGTTTTTGTTTCATCTTCCTTGTCTATCCTGATAATCCATAGATTTGATCTAAAGACAAGTTTGGAGGTCTTGTATGTCTCCTAGGTATTTTCTAAATGTGTTTCAATGTTTTTGACTGATCTTCTGCTCTCTGGTGCAGCAGGAATTTCCAATCCTGTCTCTTGATATGTCTTCTCACCCCACTTCTGCAGCCTCTGGCTTCCTAGTTACAGCATGGCTTTCTCACTGATTAAATTTTTTTTTTGCTGTTCCCTGTTGCCCACTTCAACCTCCCTTTGCACTCTGTCATAACTGATTTATAACTATGTTCTGTGGCATTGTCAAAGCTGTTGATATGTTGTGATTGTTTCCTAACACTAGGCTATGAGAAACATTCTCAAGGAGGTGCATCTGTCACTTTCAGGGATATAAAGGACAAAGACTGCCTTAGTTCTCTGAAGTCTAGTCTCTTATACAAGATTAGTCCCCACCTACCAAGTCCCTGAGCTTGCAGGTTATATTTATTTTCCCTGTAGCTGGATTTGGTGAACCCTTGGCTGGGACCATCTGTTTTTAACTAGTGTTCCCCTCCCCTATCTGGGAGAGTCAGGGGTGGCTTAGGATTCCATTTCTACTTTTTTCTTTTAAAAAATCATTGTAAAGGTGATGCATAGAGGGGTTACAGTTACATAAGTAAGGTAATGAGTACATTCTTTTTGTTGTTGTTGTTGTTGATCGTGGGGCTTGAACTCTGGGCCTGAGCGCTGTCCCTCAGCTCTTCAGCTCAAGGTGAGCACTCTACCACTTGAGCCACAGCAGCATTTCCGGTTTTCTAGTGGTTTATTGGAGATAAGAGTCTCACAGACTTTCCTGCCCAGGCTGGCTTTGAACCGTGATCCTCAGATCTCAGCCTCCTGAGTAGCTGGGATTACAGGTGTGAGCCACTGTTGCCCAGCCATACATTGCTTTTTGAACAGTGTTACCTGCTCCCTCATTTACTCCCATTCTCCCCTCCCCTGCTTTTCTTCCACTGTGTTTGCATCTCTAGTTTCCTAGATCTTCTGGAACTCTTTATGGATTTCCTTTCTTGAACTCTTTGAATTCTCAGAATCTGATCATTTTTGTTTCTCTGGATTCTACTCATTCACAGAGTAAAATGATGGCTACTTTCAATCAACCATTTTGCTCCCTGTTGTGTCTCTTTGTAGAATCAAAGTCCATTAGAAGCAATATTTCATTCTTTTAAATGTTAAAGCATTTAAAGATATCTCCTGTCAATAATTAAATAATATAGGACATTGTAGTTTATAAAATTGAAGAAGAGTGGAAAATAAGTATAATCTGTACTTAATATGATATAGGTTAAATATTTCTCTTTTTATACTTTCTCTTAATTTGTAAAAACAATCTCCCTACTTAGTATTTTATTTCTACTTTGATCACTAGTGAATTAAAGAATCAAAGGTAGACAAGCTGTTTGCACTCATGAATATTCCTTCTTGAATTCCCCCATCCATAGGAGGACTAGATTAGTGAGCTAAAAACTTTATGCTTTGCTACACCCAGAATTTCTGAAACCTCCGCCTGAAATTTGAAAGAAAAACAAATTCCAAGTATAGAATTTTTACTTTTTTGCTTTTTCTATCTTGGCTACTTAAAATACAGAGTATATTCTGAATATAAAGGAATTTTTGAAGAAAGAGAAAAAAATTAAATCTGCTATGTATGAGGTATAAAGCTTCATGGATAGTATAGGTTATCCTGTTTTATTTGCTGTATATTGTGGCATAGTTTTTATTATTCCTCTAACGGATAAACAAAAGTTTGGATTTTTAAGCAATTTATCAAAGAGTACATAGTTTATTTTGTCATAATTGGGATTCAAAACTATCATTTTCTGTCTCCAAAGCCAATACTTCTGCCACAAATAATCAGGTAATAATCTATATATAGTAATCTTATAGGTGGGAGTCATCATGAATAAAACTGTTCAAGGTTATCATTGATTAAAAACTCAAGTGCCATATAAAATTCTTACCTAGGCTCTTTTTACAGTTACAGTATCAAGGGCAAGGGAAGGAAACTATGTAAGAAAATGAGAATAATTAGATGTAATCAGGTGCTATCAAGGTATTTTTTCAAAACAGCCACAAGGGGTCATACCTGTAATCACAGTTACATGGGATTCAGAAATTGAAAGGAGTATGCTTTGCGGCCAGTGCAGGAAAAATGTTAGTGAGATCTCATCTGGATGCGGTAGCCCACACCTATCATCCAGCTATGTGATAGGCTGTATGTGAAAGGATTCTAATCCAAGGACGACGCTGGCCAAACAGCCAGTGTCTTTGGCTGACAAATAACTAAACCAAGAAGGAATGGCTCAAGTGATAGAGTACCTGCCTAGTAAGTATGACATCCTAGTGTTACCTAGAATTATCCTAGTAACACCCTAGTATTACCAAAACCTAAAATTTAAAGTTGTTCTCAGTATGTATATCACAAACATATCTTAAAGTGCTTCCTTTTGCTAATCATGAAATAAAGTCGATATACTTCCTTTTTCATAAGCTCATCTAGCAAGACTGACCTGCATGTAGTGAAGAATTAGACACAGTAGCATCTAGTTTACAGTTTCATGAAAACAATGTTGTAAATGTTGATACATTGTGTTCTTGCTATAACAAAATTCCAACTTCTTGGTCCCAACATAAATAAAATATAGTGGACATTAGTCATTTGACTCTGCTTTGTCCATTTTATTCTCATTTGTGTAAAGATAAATTAATACCAAGGTAGTTATTTTTTTGTCAGCTTAAGCTTTCCCATCTACTCTATTTCCTTTGTTTAGTTCTCAAAGTGGTATTTGTTCCGTGGGAAATCTAGGAAATTTTTTTAAAGCTCATCTAGTTTTATTTACCTGCTTGTGATAATTGAGTGGTTAGAATTTGCCTTCTATTTTTGCTTATTTTTTCCAAGTTTTGTAAGATGAGTATGCCTGGCTTTTGAAATAGAAGAAAATTAATAAGTAATTCAATAAAACTGTAGTTAAGTCTAAAAACTTTATGATGCTTTATGAACCTTTATTTACCTGTCCTATAGATAGTTTAGAAACCAATATGTTGTGATAGTTGTAATAAAGATGATTATAGTTGCCCCAGTCTAGAAACACAGATGCCACTTTCTAGCAGATACTCTCTTTTAAAGTTGTAAAGCAATTTAATGTTATGCTTTATTTAAATAATTTTATACTATATTTTCTTTCTTAGTTGAAAGAAACAAAAGCTTACTTATAAAACTATTCTAAAACTAAGAAACTAAGTATAGTAAAATGTTTTCAATAAGCTCTATCTTCATGAAAGTTTCCTATGATGCTTTTCCTTAGGTAAGAAAAGTCTTACAATAAGATTTTCCCAATATTTAAGTGTGTAATCCCTCTTAAGTGTGGATTGAGAGTAATGATCAGCCAGGTGCCAATGGCTCATGCCTATAATCCTAACTACTCAGGAGGTTGAGATCTGAGGATTGTGGTTCGAAGCCAGCCCAGGCAGGAAAGTCTGTAAGAATCTTATCTCCAATTAAGCACCAAGAAAAATGGAAGTGGCACTGTAACTCATAATAGTAGAGAGCTAGCTTGGAGTGCAAAAGCTCAGTGACAGCACCCAGGCCCTGATTTCAAGCCCCATGAGAGGCAAAGGGGGGGGAGGGAACCAGTGCAAGTGTAGCAAGTGTAATAGATTCAGTACCAACATAATTCTAAATTTTTTAGCTATATTGAAGGTTCTACTTTCATATAAATTAATATTTAAGTACTCAACATCCCAACTACCTCCGTATAATTTTCCTCAATAACTAGAATATTCTTGTTTCCTTTTTCATTTAACGGTCTTTCTCTTTTCCTATTTTTATATATGGTGGGTATGTACTTTGTCCTCCCCCAAAAGTTTATGTAATAAATACATTGTTGTTTTCATTTACTCTCAGAACCGGTGACAAGAAGAATGTAGCCTGGAAGATTCTCCCAAAGAAGCCATGTAAAAATCTGATAAATACCCTGAATAATTTGCACCAGCAATTAGCAAAATGTAAGTTGATAACTTAATTGAAGGATGTAATTTAATCTAAAAAAGTGAATTAATTTGCCTGGCTCCTTTTTTATTCCTTTATTTTTTGTGCCATTACTAGGATTTGAACTTAGGGCCTAGGCACTGTCTTTTAACTTTCTTGATCAAAGCTGGTGCTCTACCACTGAAGCCACACCCCACCTCTACTTCTGTAGACTTGCTGGTTAATTGGAGATAAGAGCCCCATGGACTTTATTGAATAGGCTGGCTTTGAACTGTCATCCCCTGATTTCAGCCTCCTAGGAAGCTAGTACTAGGCTGACAGACACTAGTATCCAGTTTTTTTTTTTTAATTTTCTTTGTTGGGGGAGTATTTTGGAGGCTTGAGCTCTGGGCCTCACATTTGCTAGGGATGTGTTGTACAAGTTGAGCCACATTTCCAACAATTTTTAGTTTTAGGTTATTTTTCAGATAGGGTCCTGTGTTTTTATCCTGGTATGGGGTCTATGCTAATTTTCTTTTTATAATTTCAATTTTTCTAATAATTGATTAAGATTCTTCCTTTAATGACTTGATCTATCAGACTTTTCTACCGTAAAGAACTCTATTATTCCTGTTGACTTTAGCACTTAATTGTCCAGGAAGAGTTGCTTTTTGTTTTCTTGTTTTTTTTTAATATTTAATCCCTGTGCATTTATCCTGAAAGCATTTATATTTACAAAAATAAAAGAGGAGCAGGAAGACTGCTGTATTTAACATACTGTCTAGTTGATAGGGTTGGTATAATCTTTGTGTGTGTGTGTGTGTGTGTGTGTGTGTGTGTGCGCGCGCGCGCGCACATATTTCAGAGCATGTATTTTTTCTGATGAATAGAAAGTAATACTTGCACATTTAACTTGGATAAAATACATTCAACACAATCTAAAAAACTGGTAAGCCATGCTTTAAGATTTACACACTTCCCATATTATAAAGTTCTATAAATAAAAATTGAGATGAAAACATGACAAATTTACATGGAAACAATTATGAGCAGCAGTGTCAACAGCTTAAAGAAAACACTGTTTCTTCACAGTGCAACAGAGACCACGAGATGATGGACTGATGGACTTAGCAATGAATGACTATGATTTTAATTCTGGAAAAAAGTTGCACATGATAGATTTGGAAATTCAGGAGGCATTTTTGTTTTTTATGGCCTCTATTTTAAAAGGTTATAGATCATACTTAAGGCCAATAACACAAGCCCCATCTGAGACAGCAACAGATGCAGCTTCTCTTTTTGCCCTGCAAGGTGAGTACATAGGTTTTATAACTTTCAAATTACCGAGTTTAGCCTGGTGATGAATTATTTGCTGCCTGAGTTTATAGCTCATTTTTATCAAAATACATGACTGTTTTGAGGAGTATGTGAGTACTAACTCTGGTGACCCATTCCCATAGAACAATTTCTTTATTTTCATTCTTATTAATATCTTATTAGTATATGTTTATTGTACAAGGAAGTTCACTCTGACATTTCCATGCATCCATACAATGTACCTCAGTCAAACTCGTCCCTTCTATCACACACCTTCATCCTCCTAAACCTACTTCTTAAAACAGTGTCAATGTATTTTGACTCTGTACACGCTCATTCATCCTCTATAAGACTAGTTCTTCTTGGAAAGCGGGAGAAAACAAGGGAGGAGGTAACACTGTTCTTTCTCTGCAGTATTATTAGCAAGGTAAGTAAAAAAAAATCATTTGAAAAATACAGGAACTCCTAAGTCTGTACTGTTCCACTCTGCTGTGTCATGTGCATTGAGATACTGATACTGTCAGCTAGTCAGGGCTGGGGGTGCAGAACAAGTCCCTGGGACCATTACCTCCAGGTTCAGGCAGCCTTATTTATTTCCATCTGATTTACAAATACTACTTTTAGCTGGACCCTGGTAGCTCATGCCTGTAATCCTAGCTACTCAGGAGTCTGATATCTGAGGATTATGGTTCAAAAACCAACCGGAGTAGGAAAGCTTGTGAGACTCTTATCTCCAGTTAACCACTAAAAAGCCAGAAGTGGAGCTGTAGCTCAGGTGGTAGAGCAAAATAAACTCAGAGACAATGCCCAGGCCCTGAGTTCTAGCTTCAGGACCAGCATACACACATATGCACACGCACGCTTTCATACCAGTTTGTGTGTGTCCTTTAAGACAGTGAAGGGACAGAGATAAATCTGAATGTGTTATCTAGGTTTACATTGCTTATTTTCTTTTTCTTTCTTTCTTTTCTTTTTTCAGTCGGTCATGGGCTTGAACTCTGGGCCTGGCGCTGTCCCTGAGCTCTTCAGCTCAAGGCTAGTACTCTGCCACTTGAACCGCTGAGCAACTTCTGGTTTTCTGGTGGAGATGAGTCTCACAGACTTTCCTACCCAGGCTGGCTTTGAACCGCAGCCCTCAGATCTCAGCTTCCTGAGTAGCTAGGATTACAGGCATGAGCCACCAGTGCCCAGCTTTGTTGGTTTTTTTTTTCTTTTTCTCTTTTTTGTTTATATTGTCTGTTGTGGTGCTTGAACTCAGGGTCTGGGTGCTGTCTCTGAGCTCTTCTGCTCAAAGCCAGCACTCTGCCTCTTTGAGGCAAAGCACCACTTTCACTTTTCTGGTGGTTAATTGAAGGTATGAGTCTCACAGATTTTCCTGCCTGGGCTGGCTTTGAATCATGATCCTTAGATCTCAGCCTCCTGAGTAGTTAGGATTACAGGTGTGAGCCACCAGCACCCAACTTGGTTTGTATTATTCATTGTTGATTTCTTATTTATCCAGTTATTTTCCCTTAGAGAGTTTCTTCAAACTAGTGGGGATTGTGAATGACATGGTTAATCAAGTATCTTCTAGCTTTTAAGTTAGAAAAAAATTTAAAATTTTATGAATTTGTGAATGATATATAATCTCACATCATATATTTATATTGACTAGCTTTCTTAAGAAGTCGGGATCGATCACATCAAAAATTCTATAACATGATGACAAAAACTCAAATGTTTATTCGCTTCATTGAGGAGTGTTCTTTTGTCAGTGATAAAGATGCAAGCCTGGCGTTTTTTGATGATTGTGTTGATAAAGTAAGTAACAATATGTCTGTAGTGTTTTATCTTACTTTGTATGACTGCTATAAATATTATGAGTTTTTATTTCTACTTAGAAGCTTTTAGAAAAATATTTAGGAAGTGGCATTGTGGCTCAAGTGGTAGGGTGCTCCGCCTTGAGCTGAAGAGCGGAGGGACAGCGCCCAGGCCGAGTTCAAGCCCCACAACTGACAAAATAAATAAATAAATAAATAAGAAATGATGATAGAAAATAAAAGTTCAGTTTCCATAATTAATCACACTGAAACTTTTGTGACTGCTAATAATTATAGAGCTTACCTCTTAAGAAATACCTTGTGTCATGGTCAAAGCCAGCCCAAGCCAGAAAGGCTATGAGACGCTTATCTCCAATTAACTCCCAGAAAGCCAGAAGCAGCGCTGCTCAAAGTGGTAGAGCCCTAGCCTTGAGCACAAAAGCTCAGGGATGGTGCCTAGAACCTGAGTTTAAGCCCCATAAAAAAGGAAAAAAATCTTGAAATATTTTACCAAATCAGTTTTATTTTGACAATTAGGTTCCAACCTATCTGTTCTCCAGGCCATATACTTCCAACATTCCAAAGACATTCCAACATCCAGAATGTCTTTTCTGAGAGTGTCATAGAGTAGGTATATAATGTAATAGATACTTCACATAAATTAGTCTTCATTTGAAAGTGAATTTATAGCTTAATTGTGCTACTATTTTGTTTATGTATGAAACTATCCCCTTTTCTTCAGTGCTAATACCATTAGGTGAGACAGATCTAGGTAACTATTCATGTTGGAGAAAGAGTTTGAGAGTAGAGGCCTAGAGAGAAGCGTCTAGCCTTGGAACAGAGTAAAGAAGAAGCAGTAGCCTGATGTGCAAGCTAGAGCCCAAGCTAGGTGCAACAAGCATCTGTGATGAGACATGGGCTAACAGACAGTCAGAGGACAAGCAGGATAAGAAGGTCCATGCTGGTGTCACACAGCTGCAAAATACCAGAACTGAAACAGGATGAGAGCATCTTTATGGAGGTGGGTACAACATGGAGTGCAGGAGTCAGAACAAAGTATCCCCATTTGTTGAGTACAGCCAATAGGGTATCAGTGGTCTTGATGGAGGAGTTATGATCCTGGTAGGCAAGGGGCTCAATCTGTAAGAGTTTGTCAAAGCCAAATTAGGGTGAAGAAGTCATCTGCATGGAGGAGTATTGGCAGTGGAGATAGGAGAATGTTACACATGGTGAGGGGAATGATAAAATAATTAATAAAGTTCTCACTATCAAGAAGGGATTTACAAATAAGTGGAAAAAAACTAAAATGAATCTTGTAAAGTTAAAGTAAAATTGGAGATTTTGTTTTGTATGAGTAATTTTTAATCAGAGCTACAGATGTGAGAACCTGTGTCTGTGTGTACATACATCTGTTCTCTAGCTCTGTACATTCAGAGGACCTTGGAGCAGCCACACCACTATCACAATGTATAAATCAGTTCTCCTTGGGGAAATCATTGGTTCCAGGTTTGGTCAAGGAAAGTACAAAATAAAATAACTTGTATTAGAAAATAAGGAATTGCCCCAAGACTGATAGAGAATTGCTAACACAAAGAAAACATACCCAGAAACCAATTTGAAAGAATTTCCATTAGTAAAACTAGAACAATCTGAGGATTAAATTTCAGTAACAAATTAATCTATTGAATAAAATGGGAAACCATGCATCTCTGTAGGTATCAGTTGATCAGTTGAAAGTCTGATGAGAAATAGGATCTTACTGAGCTGCAAAGCACTTCTGCACAAAGTACAGCACTGTAATTGTAAAACCGGGAAAGCCTGACAAATACTTTCTTTTAGTGTAAATTAATTGTCCAAAGGGAGGGTTCATTATGACATTTTCTACACAATCAAACAATACATTCCTATCATGTTCCCTGTCACTCTCCTTCCTTAAAACAATTTCAGTAGATTTCATTATTGTATTTTCATGTATGCAAATAAACTATATGACAGAAGAATCAAATGATCAAAGTGAAATTATCATCAGTAATTGTCCAAATCATGTGCCTCTGAATAGGTGACAATTAGAACACATCAGTTGTGTAACATTCTTGCTAAAGATGCACACTTATATAACTTCAAGGGTAATTAAAACAAGCACAAATTATGAGAGAATCAAAAAAGAATCAATAGTTCATACTAGTAATCCTAGGCTGAAATCTGGAGGATCATAGTTCAAAGTGAGTCCATGCAGAAGAGTCTTCTAGATTCCATCTCTAATTAACAAGCAAAATGCTGGACTGGAAATGCTGCTCAAGTAGTAGAATACACAAGCCATACACAAGCTGAATAAGAGTTTAGTAACCTAAGTTCAAGCTTTAGTCTCAGAAAAAGAAGAGTCAAGGTTAAGAAACTAAAGAAAAACTTGAGAAACTGCTATAATGTGAAGACTCTTTGTGACCAAATGTAAAATATGGTTACTGGATCCTTTTGGTATAACATTATTAGAATAATCAACAAAAATTGATCTGAAAAATAGTCATGATATTTCTAGTTATATTATGAAATAGGATATCCTTTTGGGTAGGAAGTATATATGAAAAGTATTTGAGAGTGACAGATCTATCATCAGGTTGGCAACTTATTCTCTTAAGATTATAAAAAAAGGGATTGAGATATAGCTCAATGGCACAGTATTTGACCACCATGTGTAAGGCCCTGGGGTTAGTCCCAGCACTGAAAACAAATAATATTAAGAAAAATGAAGTTTTTTCATGATGATCCAAACTTCTCTGTAAATTTGTGATTATTTACAAATGAATATAGTATCTATGATAGTTGAAAAAAGGAAGAAAGCAAAATTTCATCATGTATCATCTCCACAATTTATCACAACAGAGTCAATTTATTCCCTAATACATAGATTAATTTGAAAATGTCCTTCACTGATTGTGTCTGATAAAAGTGAGAAGTGGTTCTCAGTACCTGTGGTAAAGTAGGAAAAGCATTGCACTGGGAACCCATACTTTATTCTATGGCCTTAGTCATTTCTTCATTCTCTGTTGTTTGCTTATCTGTGTTTTTGAGAATATTATGAGGAGAGATAATTGCCACTGCCTTATCTCATGGTGTTATATAAATTAAAAGTTGGAAAATATTACAGGTATTTTTCTATCAAGCTTATAGATTTATTCACTTGGCTTTGTCATTTCATGGCAGAAATACTCAGTTTTTCAATGACTGAGGAATAACATGAACAGGTTCATAGCTTGTTTAGGCATCTACCTTTTCCTTTAATTTAGAATACATGAGCACTGATCGATAAAAATACTCTAACCACTTTTGAAGACATGTATAAATGCTATTTATTAAATTAATTAAGGCAATGAGTATACTTTTTAAGGTATGGTTTGAATATTTTTGACAAATACATATTTTTCAAGTAACCAAGTCATCAATATATAGAATGTTTTCATTACCCCAGAAGGGGCATTGTGTGGGGAAAAGGTTTATTATGTACATTTTGAATGACCTATTTATAAGTTGTCTTTTGAAACTGTGTGTGTCTGTGTCTGTGCGCGTACGCCAGTGCTGGGGCTTACACTCAGGCCCTGAGCTTTTTTACTTAAGTCTAGCACTCTGTCTTTTGGACCATAGCTCCACTTACGGCTTTTTGGTGGTTAATTGGAGAATCTAGTTTGCCCAAGATGGCTTTAAACCATGTTCCTCAGATCTCAGCTTCCTGAGTAGCTTATAATGCAGGCATGAGCCACTGGCACCCAGGAAAACCTTTTTGTGGGTTGAGCTCTGTTATATTGAGGAGATAGTACTCTAAACATCTTGAAATATTTATCATTATAACATTGTACTAAGATCTTATAAAATTTCAAGTTGCTCTTTTTTGATACTTATAAAGTTAAATATTGGCAATAATAGGAAAGTATGTCTTTAAAAGCTTCTCCAAGTCCTTTTTTTGCAGAAATAATTGTGTTGCTTATTTATATATAATGATGATGCTTCTGACTAGCACTGTGCATTTTGAATGCTTGTTGCATATAGTGGAAGGGATCTACTTAGTGACCAGGGTTTAACTAGTAACATGCTTTTGCCAATAAATTTACTAATCTACAAAGGAGCAGTGAATGAGTTACAGGAATCCAATGATCAGTTTAAAAGAGAAACAAATATTCCCTTTTGGGCCCTTTAATGAACATTGGTCACCAGTTTGTGTTTCAGCTCAATTTACATTGTTGCTCAGTTTAATGAAATATTCATTAGTATTGTCAGAAGTATAAGACTTGCCATTTTTTCTTATCTGGGTATCATGTCCTAAGGAGGATATCTTAATATATTAAAAGAATTAATACATTTATATTGTCTGAGATTTTATTTATATTTATATTGCTTTTATATTATGGGAGTCAATGCAGTTAGATGATTTGAATAATTCCTTTAAACAATTCTGAGAAAAATTCCATTAAATATGAAATATATATTGGATCAACATTATTCTTAAACATTTCAATGACTAGAAAATCAGAGCTGAGAATTAGACTCAGTGTATTAGGTCATTGGTAGCTGGGGCAAGTCCCTAGGTTTTGTCCCCAGCAGCACACGTACGTGCACGTGCGCGCGCACACACACACACACACACATGCCCCTACACGTTACACACACTTATCTCCACCTACCTCCTTCAGAATTAGTGTATTATATAAAATGTAAAAGTTGTATTTGCTTTATTGTAATTCGAGTGTGTTTTATTAGAGAAAGTAAAGTATCACAAGATCTAAAACACATCTTAATAAACTTCATATATAATTGAAACAAGTTAATTATTAAGGGGAACAATTAAGGGTATTATTAATGGTAGTATTAATGGTATTTTTAAGGGGAAATTTTTTTTTTTTTTTTTTTTTGTCGGTCGTGGGGCTTGAACTCTGGGCCTGGGTGCTGTCCCTCAGCTCTTCAGCTCAAGGCGAGCGCTCTACCACTTGAGCTACAGCGCCACTTCCAGTTTTCTGGTGGTTTATTGGAGATAGGAGTCTCACGGTCTCTCATGCCCAGGCTGGCTTTGAACCGCGATCCTCAGATCTCAGCCTCCTGAGTAGCTAGGATTACAGGCGTGAGCCACCAGCGCCCGGCTTAAGGGGAAATTTCTAAAACATAAGTAACTATGCAATGTGTAACTGCCTTTCTTTCTTCTTCTTTTTTTTTTTTTTTTTTGGTCAGTTGTGGGGCCTGAACTCCGGGCCTGGGCACTGTCCCTCCACTCTTCAGCTCAAGGCTACCACTTTTTTTTCCCCCCTGCTTATGTGGTGCTGAGGAATCAAACCCAGGATGTCATGCATGCAAGGCAAGCGCTCTACCACTGGGCCACCCTCCTAGCCCATGCCTTTCATATTTTAATACCATGGTAAATGCACACTAAGCACAAAAAGTCAGTGCTTCTAATCTGCAAATGTTTTCTGAATATCATATGTGTGGACATTATTCCTTAATATAATGACTTAGAGCCCATTTTTAATTAACTTCTAGAAGTTTTGGTAAGGAAAATAAATAATTGATGTGCATTAACTGCCTATCCATGATGAAAGTTGAAAAGAAGCCAGATATACTCCTCCTTTGATCTTATCCATCGTATCCAAACAGCACACTTGACTGACTTTTAACATCTGACATGAGTAATGCTGAGAAAAATAATATATACAAATGATTTAAGTTTAATTAGTGACTAATTTAAGAACTATGTGTTCTTGCTCTTCACATGATTGTATTTTAAATCCTGACAATCTGTTCCTGTAGGCTGATGCTTAACTAAGGGCAGTTTTGTGTAACAAATAGTCTGGTAAAAAAAAAAACTTGATGTTTTTTAAAGTACCCCTTTGCAGTATTTTCTGAGCATATTAATATCTTATGGAAAAATATAAGGAGAATATGAAAATTACTTTAATTTTATCCTGCCCGTGGGCGTTGGGTTTCTTTTTCTTTCAATAGAGACAGATGTCAGTGTGCTTTCCAAAAGACAGAGCTGTCCAACCGATAAATCGAGGGTTTATGGCATGGCTATTTTTATTTATATTTATTTATTTATTTTTGTCAGTCATGGGGCTTGAACTCTGGGCCTGGGCGCTGTCCCTCGGCTCTTCACCTCAAGACGAGTGCTCTATCACTTGAGTTACAGTGCCACTTCTGGTTTTCTGGTGGTTTATTGGAGATAAGAGTCTCACGGACTTTCCTTGCCTGGGTTGGCTTTGAACCGCGATCCTCAGATCTCAGCCTCCTCAGTAGCTAGGATTACAGGTGTGAGCCACCGGTGCCCGGTTTATTTTTATTTTTTATTTTTTTTAACTTTTTTTTTGTGGGGGGAGTCCGGTCATGGGGCCTGAACTCTGGGCCTGGGCGCTGCCCCTCAGCACTTCAGCTCAAGGCTAGCACTCTACCACTTGAGCCACAGCACCACTTCCGGCTTTTTTTTTCTGCTTATGTGGTGCTGAGGAATCGAACCCAGGGCCTCATGCATGCAAGGCAAGCACTCTACCACTGAGCCACCTTCCCAGCCCTGGCTATTTTTATGATGTGAAGTGAGATCTTTATTTGTACACAAGGGAAATACCTTTTGCCAAGGTATTGAGTCTATACTGCAAGATTTTACATTTTTAATAGATTTCACCATACTGGACTTTACAACAGTTGTCCTGGACCCCAGGCTTTTGAATGAAAATAAAATCGCTGGAGAGGCAATGTAGAAACAGAATGGAGAGGGAGAAGCTGTTAAAAAATGGACAATAAATAATAGAGATAGAGAGAGGTAGGTAGATAGATAGATAGGTAGGTAGATAGATAGATAGATAGATAGATAGATAGATAGATAGATAGACAGACAGACAAACATACTGACCCTGATGTCCACAGACAAGCTGTTTTCCTGCATCTTTCCATCACCTGGGGTATTTTTTTCGACCTTTTTAATCTGGTCTGTTTCTTCTATTTCATGGTCATTTCTGTCCTTAGTTTCATCTGCATAAAAATGTCGTGAGTATAAAGCACCTCATTTAGCCTTGGGTCACACCTGAATACCACATCCTACTAGGGATACCTGTGATTTTTAAATCCTCATTGGCATGTTTCTAATGTTGTTTATTAAGATATCTAGGTCTTCTAATAATAGCTAAGATGTTCTCTATTTTTATTGAAAGTTTAAAAATTTTTTGGCAGGTTTTGGGGTTGGAAATTAGAGCTTGCTAGGCAAGTATCCATGACTCCAGGTCTTTTTGTTTTAGTGGGATCTGTTGATTTTCCCCCCCCTAGCTGGCCTGGACTGCAGTCCTCCTACCTATACTTCACATTCATATCTGGGACAAACACATGTGTCTATACTCAACTTGTTTGTTGAGACAGAATCACACTAATCCTTTGCCTGGGCTGGCCTTGAATCTCAGTTCTCTCTACTTCTGCCTCTATGCAGCTGCGATCACAAACATGTGCTACCACTCCCTCCTGAAAAGCTGAATGCTTTTATTAAATTTATTAAACTAGCAAGAGGCATAGAATCCATTTTTCATTTATCCCCAGTGTTTTATTTTACATAACTGTAAATTTTTTACATATAGCTAGATTTTATAAGCCAATTAATACTGCTGTCAAATACTTTAAGAGTACATTTTCATTTTCAGCACAGTAAAACATGATATAGTTTAAAATATCATCCTTGTAGAGTTGTCTCCTATCCTTCCTATCCTGTCTGTAGTCTCCAGAGGTAATCATTTATCTTAATATTTGAGATACCATAGGTTTTGATTGCTGCTTATTATTTTCTATATTATCTGTTAATGTCACATTTACTACCACCACAATTCTCCCAATATTCTTATAATGTTAGTTTTTGTGAAATAATCATTCAGTGTTAATATTACTACCACTTGGTATATAATCACAGGTAGGACAAATATACTATAATTAAATTTCCTTTCATGTACAGATGATTGCTTTCTGAAGTTAGTAATTGCTATACTTAGGTCTGTTATTAATCCCTGAGCTTATAGGCAGAAATGAAATACCCAATTTTTTTAACATACCGGTTGGTCCGTTTGGTAGTTTTCTTTTTTAATTCTTATTGAGGTCTTTTATTCTCTCATTCTAATCTGATTTCTTTCTGATCTGTCATATGGAAATTTTCTTCACCTTCACCTTGGGAATTCCATCAGCCTCTTATTCTGCAGTTGGATGCTCTGCTTTCTGGATTTAATAACTTTTTTAGTTATTAGTTATTAAATTTAGTTACTTTTTTAGTTATTTCCTTTCTGTTTCACCTTTTAGGAGCTTACTGAGAACAGCATATTCTACTGCAGATCCTTGTCTTTAAATTTTAACTTGTTGACAGTCCTTCCTCTTCACTTGATACATTACTGTATATGATATTAATTTTTCTTAGCCAATATAGTTCTGTAGCTTTTATTTTGCCATTTTTAAAAATTAGTGACAAATGACAGAGATAGGGAGGATCAAAATCAGGAGGATCCTGGGTTGGGGATTTAGCTCAGTGGACGAGCATTTTCCTAGCAAGTTCAAGGTCCTGAATTGGGTCCTCAGTTCTTCCAAAAAAAAAAAAAAAGTCAGGATTCTGGAGGATCAGAGGTCACTAGATTTTGTGGCAACAAGGGGAGGAGCAAAAAATGGACAAGGCCTATTAACCAACATGGATGGCTTGTTGGTGTTTGTGGTTCTAACTATGTAGCTGTACGCAAGAGGATCTCATGCCAACCCTGGACCTGAAAAATAGCTATTAAGTCAAAAAGGAGCCAGATGCTGGTGGCTCATACCAGTAATCCTGCTTAGGAGGCTGAGATCTGAGGATTGAGGCTCAAAGCCAGACCAGTCAGGAAAGTCTATAAGACTCTTATGTCCAATGAACCATCAGAAAATCCAAAGTGGAAAAAGCTCAAATGGTAGAATGCTTGCCTAACAAGTACCCTAACACTGCCAAAAAAAAAAAAAATACAATGTTCTGTTTAGTTTATGGGCACTTGTGAAGCAATTTCAGATTCTGTAATTTTTTCATTTTTTCTGGATATATCTTGCTGTAGAGCACCCAGCATGACTTAAATGCTTTTAGTATTGATGTGGCTAGAGTGTAACTAAGTGTACTTCCACAGTTACTGAAAGAACTTAGGAAAAAATTCTTATATTTAGTATAAATTTTAAAAAAGAGAACACATGAATATACATGCTAAAATTTGAATATATTTTTATGATTCAAAATGCAAACTGTAAAAAGGAATACACTGGAACATGTAGGACCTGTCCCATCCTCACTCTCCACATTCCTTTTCTCTCTCTCAGATGCTTAATTACTCTTTCTTGGTCTTCTAGGTATGCCTTTGTGTAAATAGAAGCTGAAATGAATATATGTTCTTTTTTCCCTTTTCTCAAAAGTTAGTACACTGTATATGATTAGCTTCACTAGGTTATTTGCACTTAATTATCTTAGAGCTCTTTCTACTATGGTACAGAGAGAATTCTTGCTTATTGATTATTTTAATAGTTCATTAAACCAGGTACTGGTAGCTTACATCTGTAATCCTAGCTACTCAGGAGGCTGAGATCTAAGGATCACAGTTCAAAGCCAGCCTAGACAGAAAATCCATGAGACTCCTATCTCCAGTTAGCCAGCTGAAAACGGGAAGTGGAACTAGCTCAAAGTGGTAGAGCACTAGCCTTGAGCAAAAGAGCTCAGAGACAGTGCCCAGGCCCTGAGTTCAAGCCCACAACTAATTTTTTTTAAGTTCTTTTGCTTACATTTGTATAAATGGTTTACTGAGCCATTCCCCCATAGATGAACCCTCAGCTAACCACTGAAGTTTTTACAAATGTCTTTTCAATCCCCTCAGGTGGATATGGACAAGAGTGGTGAAGTGCGACTTATAGAATTGGATGAATCTTTCAAAAGTGAACATACTGTCTTTGTAACACCACCTGAGATCCCCCATCTGCCTAATGGTGAAGAACCCCCTTTACAGTACAGGTACTCGAGAAGCAGAGTGTTTGAGAGTGAGAGAGAAGCAGTCCGTCATCTGTGGCATAGTTTTCTAAGGACTGGTATTTTCAAATTCCAAACTTTACACATCCCTAAGTTTTAGGTGGTAAGCAAGATTATCCCACATCCATTATTACAAGTTGAGGTATAAACAGAAAAAATACTAACTTTGCATAGCATAGACTTGGGCAACTCTCCAATTATAACTATTATAAGTATCTTTATAAGTGTTGATTGCATTATTAGGTTCCTTCACTCAATTCAAATGAGAACTTTTATTATAGAATTTTGACCTTGTTTCTCACTAATGACTTCTTTTCTTCCTGCAGCCCTTCTTTTCATTCACACAGTGATCAATGTAACTTTGATTTATAAGAGATGATAAATCTAGTTTAGGATAGTATTTGTGGTCTTGATTTGTATTACAACAATTTTAAGCTATCATTTCTGAGTTTTTAAGTCATAAAAATTCAGAATGGCTAAAATTGATCATTTTTAATTTTGATTTTTTTTTGACAGTACCAGGTTTGAATTTAGGGCTTCTTGCTTGCTAGGTAGGTTCCCTAATGCTTGAGCCATGCCCCAGCTAATTTAGGGATTTTTTGTGGGGGGCAGTCCTGGGCTTGAACTGTCTTTGAGCTTCTTTTGCTCAAGGTTAGTACAGTGCCACTTCCGGGTTTTCTGCTGAGGAACCGAACCCAGGGCTTTATGCATGCTAGGCAAGCACTCCACTACTAAGCCACATTTCTAGAGCCTCTAATTTAGGAATTCTATCAGACACTCCTAAGTGCTTGACATACATTGCCTTTGCCTTTAAGTCCAGTGGGGAAAAGAGCAAAGTCCCGAGCACAGGAGAATAAGGGCTTTGATTGAGATGGATTTATTATTTCATTTCTGATAGTGTACACTCATTTTTACCTAAAATAGCATTTCCTTTTTTATTCTAAATTATTTTTATTCTCCAATAATTCTTTCTTATTTTAAAGGTTCTACAGCTATTTTATATCTATATAAATGTAATGAGTCTTAGTTTATTTTCAGTGAAAAATGAGGTTTTTCAAGGTATCCTCATTTATAACTAGGATTAAATACCTTAATTTAAAAAAGAAATAGTGTGGTAGAAGTTTTTGACTATTGTTTAATACAGGGGATACCTAACTTCTGCCCTGACTTTTAATCCATTGGTGACTCTTTTTTTTTTTTTTTTGGTCGGTTGTGGGGCCTGAACTCTGAGCCTGGGCATTGTCCCTCAGCTCTTCAGCTGAAAAGCTAGCACTCTACCAATTGAGCCACAGCACCACTTCTGGCTTTTTCTGCTTATGTGGTGCTGAGAAATCGAACCCAGAACCTCATGCATGCAAGGCAAGCACTCTACCACTGAGCCACCTTCCCAGCCCCATCGGTGACATTTTAATATTACTTTTTTATTTTTTTAATAAGTTTTTTTACTTGTGAACATACCATACAGAGGGTTTACAATTACATCAGCAAGGTAATGAGTACATTTCTTATCAAGCATTGTTGCCTCCTCCTTTGTCCTTTGTTTCCCCTTCCCATCCCTGCCCTCCCATTCCCCTGCCCCCTGCCCAATATTACTTTTTTTTTTGTCAGTCATGGGGCTTGAACTCTGGGCCTGGGTACTCTCCCTCAGCTCTTCAGCTCAAGGCGAGCGCTCTACCACTTGAGCCACAGCGCCACTTCCCCAATATTGCTTTTTTAAAGGAGATCTTTTGTCAAAGATACTTACAATATTTCTTTTAATTTTATCTTTTGTTCTCAAAGCATGGTTTTGCTTATTTGGTCTTTTTTGTAGTTCACACAGTCTTTAGATATTTGATTAATATAGTTTTGTTTTACTTTCTGTGGTTTGATATTGAACTTTTTAATTTAGAGTTTACATTTAGAGTTAGCCCTTTAAAAATAAGAAAATTAGCTCAAAGAATTCCAGAGGATTTGTTTGTGACAGTCTCCCTATGAAACCCAGGCTGATCTTGAACTCATGATCCTCCAATCATAGGCTCCTGAGGGCTGGTATTAGAGGCATGGTTCACCACTCCTGACACAAAAGTTCCAAGTTTTCAAAGATTCTAAGTAATTTTTTTTCTCTCAATACTATCAGATAATTTTGGTGTAATCATACCCCCACTGAAATTCTATAACCAGCGGACACGTCTTTAATGAGCATGGTGGTCTGCCCAATAAGAAATGACTCATATTCTTACATTGTATGTGTATAATGATGAAGCATTTCCAGAAGACAAATGTATACCACACTATGTATAGTGACCTTTTTAAAGAGACATGCTGTTCTTATTCCTACTCAATATCCAGTAATATTTTCTTTTTTTTTTTTTTTTTGCCAGTTGTGGGGTCTGAACTTTGGGCCTCAGTGCTGTCCCTGGGCTCTTCAGCTCAAGGCTAGCGCTCTACCACTTGAGCCACAGCTCCATTTCTGGCTTTTTTTGCTTATGTGGTGCTGACGAATTGAAACCAAGGCCTCATGCATGCAAGGCAAACACTCTACCACTGAGCCACCTTCCCAGCCCCTCCAGTAATATTTCCTTACTCTACCAAATTTGCCTGTCCATAATATATAACCAATATCACTATCCACTGTTATTATACTTGTCTCTTTTTAACTAATTAAAACTATACAGCTTTCATATAAGAGAAGCTAAGTTTGTTGCTCGGTGATTTCCATTTTTCGTATGTCTTTTTCCTTGCTGCTACTTAAATGCCCAGAACACCTTGCTCTCTAACTCCTTCATTAGGCCCATTTCCTTTGAGAGCCACTCATTCTAATTTTATATCTAAGGCTATATATTGTTGCATCTTCAAAAGAACCTAAATCCATATGCGGTATATGTCCTGTTTGAAACAGTAACTATTTATGAGGCCCTTTGCCAGCAGTGATATTTTCTAATATCTTTTCTATGTTTACATGAATACAACTTTTTTTTATTTTGAAGTTTAATGTCAAATACCTTTAAATGTATTTTCCCTGCCCCCCCCCCATTGAGTTTGGTTTTTTTGTCAGTCGTGGGGCTTGAACTCTGGGCCTGGGTGCTGTCCCTCAGCTCTTCAGCTCAAGGCGAGCACTCTACCACTTGAGCTATAGGCCACTTCCAGTTTTCTGGTGGTTTTTTATTGGAGATAAGAGTTTCACAGACTTTACTGCCCAGGCTGGCTTTGAACCATGATCTTCAGATCTCAGCCTCCTGAGTAGCTAGGATTATAGGCGTGAGCCACCGGCACTGGGCTTTGGCTATTCCATTTCTAAATACTATGGTAAGGGCTAGTCATGGTGTTCTATGTTTATAGTCCTAGCACTGGGGAACCTGAGGCAGGAGGATCATGAGTTCCAGCCTGAGCTACATAGCAAGACTATGTCTCAACAAAAAACAAAGTTGGAGATGTTGTTTAGTGGTAGACCACTTGCTTTACATATGGAAGGCCCTGGGTTCTATCTCTTGTACTGCAATCACTCAATAAAATATAGTAAGAACAAAACAGCATAAATATTTATCAAATATGTAACATAGTTTGATATAGAAAGTTGAATTCTGTTATTAGTCACAGTTTTTTTAGCTCTAACTGCTATAATCACATCTATGTAATTTTTTTTCTTTTCTAAAATAGCTATAATGGATTTCCAGTTCTTAGGAACAATTTGTTTGACAGACCTGAAGGATTTCTACAAACACGAAAGAAGAAATTGCCTTCAAAATCAAGTAGTCCTAGCAGCCCTTCTCCTATGTTCAGAAGAACAAAACAGGTACTTAAAATTTTTGCACTCTCTATGTAATCAAATATTAGAGCAAAAAGTAAATTTGACACTCATCTTCTTTTAATGCCCTTTACTAGCTTAGAGGTAATTATAATAGTACAAATTATTAGGTTCCTTATACACTCTGAAAATAGTTTATAGTAATCTAACTTAAGGAATTAGCCTAGTTATCTTGTCCTAGAACTTTAATATTGTATAATGCAGATTCCAAAAGGAACTTAAAAATGCATTAATTGTATCATATTTTGTTATGGAATAATTTTAAAAGCACATGACCTTGTTCAAATTTCAGTTAAGTAAGATGCCTAAGCTGGGCACCAGTGGCTCATGCCTATAATCCTAGCTGCTCAGGAAGCTGAGATCTAAGGATCATTATTCAGAGCCAGCCTAGGCACGAAAGTCCATGAGACTCTTATGTCCAAAAAAACACCAGAAAACCAGCAGTGGTGCTATGGCTCAAGTGGTAGAGTGTACTAGTCTTGAGTTCAGGGACAGCACCCAGGCCTAGAGTTCAAGCCTCATGACCAACAACAACAACAACAATAAAAGTAAAGATGCCTAAGTGTGTGAATTTATTAATGAGATTCTTGCATTTTTTTCTAGGAAATTAAATCAGCCCACAAAATTGCCAAGAAGTATTCTTCTATCCCGCAGATGTGGTCTAGGTGCCTCCTGCGTCACTGCTATGGACTATGGTTTATTTGTCTCCCAGCTTATGTGAAAGTATGTCATTCCAAAGTCAGGGCTCTGAAAACTGCATATGATGTGCTCAAAAAAATGCAGTTGAAGAAAATGGACCCACCTGATGAGGTAGTACTTATTTTCTAAAGTATTTAATTCTAGACTTATATAAGCTGGATGTTTTTGCTTTTGTACACTTTTCACCTGTGTTGCAGGTGTGCTACCGCATCCTTATGCAGCTCTGTGGACAGTATGACCAGCCAGTACTTGCAGTTCGAGTGCTTTTTGAAATGCAGAAAGCTGGTATTGACCCCAATGCGATCACTTATGGTTATTACAATAAGGTAATTACTCTGATATGATGGAGAAAGTACTATTTCAGTCATTAGACAATCTTAATGGAAGAAATCATTAATGCAGGGGCTATTTGGGCTTTACTTTAGAGTATTAAAATGTGTTTGGTAAACTAAGCTTTTTTTTTTTGCTTGCTTTGATATTATACAACCTGCTCTGATTTTCTAGCTTCATTCTGAAGCTGTATGTTCATTGTAAAAAATAATTCTACTAATTATTTTATTTTATTGAATGAATAGGCTGTTTTGGAAAGTACCTGGCCCTCAAGAAGTCATAGTGGCTACTTTCTGTGGACAAAATTAAGAAATGTTGTTTTAGGAGTAGCACAATTCAAAAGAGCTTTAAAGAAACATGCACACTCATCACAAATAATTCTCTCAGGTAACTAAAGGTTTTTAAGGTTTCACTGTTCCTTCAAAATTATGGACTGGTCACATTCAATATCTTTGGAGATTTTAAATACCTTAAAAATAATTGAATATTTTCTGGGTTTATTTTCATTAAGCAATTTTAATACAAATTGGCTATCTCTTATCTGCACTCCGTAGGACCATAGGTGGTTTTTGTATATAGAATTTGGTGGGAGAGATTGAAATATTTGTGCATTTGTAAATGATATTGGAGGTTTAAACTCAGAATTCATTTATGTTTCATATATGTCTGATACATATAGATAAGCTACAGGCATTTTATACCGTGTGTTTATTATGCTTATATGTTAATTATTTCATAAATCAGATTTTCCACTTGTGATGTCATATTGTCACTTAAAATGTTCAGATTTCTGATTTTTTTTCAGTTGTGGGGCTTGAACTCTGGGCCTGGGCACTGTCCCTGAGCTCTTCAGCTCAAGGATAGTGTACTACCACTTGAGCCACAGTACCACTTTTGGTTTTCTGTTGGTTAATTGGAGATAAGGGTCTTACAGACTTTCCTGCCTGGGCTGGCTTTGACCAGTGATCCTCAGATCTCAGCCTTCTGAGTAGCTAGGATTACAGGTGTGAGCCACCGGTGCCAGGCCCAGATTTCTGATTTTTATATGAAGGAAGCTCAGCTTGTATTAGAATGTTCTTCTCATTTATAATAGAATAGTCACTTGTTTTTCAGTTGTTACCAACTTTGTGTCTTGGTCTAGTGCTTCTTTGTTATAGTTGTACTTTCTGATTATGTGGCATTTTTCATGTTACATTACTAGATTATTAGCTTGAACAATAAATTCCAATGTGTGTCTTTGGAATCTCCTTGAGCAGTAAAATGCTATCAAATTTTGTTCTTAAGCAGTAACCCAGATGCTGTCAGTCATAGCAGTGTGGATAGTGGCCATGGAACACACACTAGGAAGGAGGAACCTTTTAATACAGGTTTAATAAGAGTAAACGCTATTGATGATAGATCTAGTACAGGCTTGTATGTACTTACATATATACTTATTATGGTGCATTTTACAAACTAGATTTTCTAGCCTGCTTTTTTTTCTTTTCTTTTTGTCAGTTGTGGGGCTTGAACCTCAGGGTCTGGGCGCTGTCCTTGAGCCTCTTTGTACTCAAGGCTAACGCTCCACCACTTGAGCCACAGTTCCACTTCCAGTTTTTGGATGAGAAACTGAAGATAAGAGTCTCACAGGGATTTTTCTGTCCAGGCTGGCTTTGAACCTTGATCCTCAGATCTCAGCCTCCTGAGTAGCTAGGATTACAGGTGTGAGCCGTCGGCACCCAGCAGCTAGCCTGAATTTTTTTAATATATATTTTTTATTGTAAAGATACTGTACAAAGGGGTTACAGTTATGTGAGTAAGATAATGAGCACATTTCCTTTCGAGTAGTTACCCCCTTCTTTGTTTTTTCCCTACCAATCCTTCCCTCCCCATCTCCCCAACTCATCCCTGCCCATCTCCCCAGAGCTGTAAAGTTCATTTTCAACATAGTGTCTTGTATAGCATGCATTTTTAAACTTTTTCATTTTAGTGATATGTTTAACTATCACCTTTTAGTTTTGTGTTAGGTACTCGATTTGGTAATGATTTATTTTAGCTTATTTTTTATTATTATAAGGATGATATACAAAAGGATTACAGTTACATAAATCAGGTAAAAAGTACATTTATTTTTGGACAATGTCACCCCTTCCCTTGCTTTCTCCCATCAGTCCCACCCACAAGTTGCATAGTTTTTCCCTCCCATTCCCACCTACAATTTGTAAAGCTTTCAACGTAGTGTCTAGTGGACAATGAACTTAACAGCTGTATGCAGTTTTTTTTTTTTTGACAGTCCTAGGGCTTGAACTCTGGGCCTGGGTGCTGTCCCTGCACTACTTTTGCTCCAAAGCTAGCATTCTACCACTTGAGCCACAGCGCAGCTTTGGAGATAAGAGTCTCACGGACTTTTCTGTCCCAAGCTGTCTTCAAACTGCTCAGCCTTGGGGGGGCAGGAGGGCAAAAAAAAAAACTGCTCAGCCTTCTGAGTAGCTAGGATTATAGTCGTGAGACATGAGCATCCAGCCAGCTGCATGCAGTTTTTTTCATTCTTTATTTGACAGGTTATAAAGTATTTTTATTTGAATATTTAGTAGTCAGTAATTATCCACTTAACTCTGATAGCTACAGATCTCTCCTGGTATGCTTTCTTTCTTTTTTAGTTTGTTCTTTTCTATTTCTTCTTTTTTTCTTTCTCTCTTCCTCCCTGCTCCTCCCCCACTTCTTTCTTTGTCGTGGTAAGCATCAAATCCAAGGACTCACATATACCATGCAAGGGCTCTATACTAAGCCCCTTGCCATGTCACTTTCCTGAATATATTTATTGTGATTATGAAAATATTTTTATGCCAGTCCTAGAGTTTGAACTAAGGGACTGGGCACTGTCCCGGAGCTTCTTCCCCCCGACCCCCCACCCATCCATACCCACCACCACCCCAACCCTACCCCGGCTCATGGCTAGCACTCTACCACCTGAGCCAGTGCCACTTCTGGCTTTTTCTGTTTATGTGGTACTGAGGAATCGAATGCAGGGCTTCATGCATACTAGTCAAGGACTCTACCACTAAGCCACATTCCCAGCCCTAATTATGAAAATATTTTAATAATATTTTAAAACAAAACATATTTTTCCTGAGTTAGTAGTGGTATTCTTGGGTCAGTTTTGTGGTTTTAGCATAATGCTACTAATTATATAGGTTGTCACTGGAAGAAATGAGGTAAAGGGGCCAGGCACTGGTGACTCACGCGTGTAATCCTAGCTACTCAGGAGGCTGAGATCTGAGGATCGTGGTTCAAAGCCAGCCAGGGCAGGAAAGTCTGTGAAACTCTTCTCTCCATTAGAAAACCGGAAGTGGCACTGTAGCTCAAGTGGTAGAGCGCCAACCTTGAGCTGAAGAGCTGAGGGACAGTGCTCAGGCCCAGAGTTCAAGGCCCATGACCAACAAAAAAAAAAGAAAAAAGAAAAAAAGAAATGAGGTAAAGGGCACCCCAGGAACTCTTTCCCTGTACTGTACTATTTGTTCAACTTCTTCTGAATTTTAATTTTTTTAATTTTTATTTTGCCTGTCCTAGGGTCTAACTCTGGGCTTGGGCGCTGTCCCTGAGCTCCTTTTTACCCAAGGCTAGCACCTTACTGCTTGAGCCACAGCACCTCTTCCAGCTTTTTCTGTGATTAATTGGAGATAAGGGTCTCATGGACTTTCCTGCTAGGGCTGGCTTGGAACCACAATATTCAGATCTCACCTTCTGGAGTAGCTAGGATTATAGGTGTGAGCCACTGGTGCCCAGCTTTAATTATTTCAAAATAAAAAATTTATAATGATTCGTTTTGTTTTCCCAGATAACTGTGTATGTCTGTGTGTATGTGCCAGTCCTGGGGTTTGAACTCAGAATCAGGGCACTGTCCTTGAGCTTTTGTGCTCAAGGCTAGCACTCTACTTCTGACTTTAAAAGTAGTTTATTGGAGATAAGAATCTCATAGACTTTTCTGCCCAGGCTGGTGTTGAACTATAATCCTTAAATCTCAGCCTCATGAGTAGCTAGCAAGGATTACAGGCATGAGCCACTGGCACCCAGTCTACCAGATAATTTTAAGTGTAGAAAAACATAGCATTATAAATGGCACTATAAGTGGCATTAGTGTCACAAAAATACAAAAATTTGTGTAAAAGCTTTTTCTATTAAAACTGGCATAGTTAAATCACACAATTCTAACTCCATAACATTTAAAATACATACAAATTTTTAATGCAGTGTAAACATGAATTTGGTGGACCAAAACTTTCAAAACTGAAGAATTACTATAAAAATATGAAGATTCTTATCTCTGTAAATGGCAGTGTTATTTAGGTTTGTTTCCTTTTATATCTACTTGAAGATTAATAAATGTAAGGTGAGAGCTGGGAAGGTGGCTCAGTGGTGGAGCACTTGCCTTGCATGCATGGGGCCCTAGGTTTGATTCCTCAGCAACACATAAGCAGAAAAAGCTGGAAGTGGCACTGTGGCTCAAGTGGTAGAGCGCTAGCCTTGAGCTAAAGAGCTGAGGGACAGTGCCCAGGCCCAGCGTTCAGGCCTTTTGACCGACTTAAAAAAAAAAAGTAAGCTGATTGTCTGGAAACATAATACAGTAATCCTTCCTTAGCTGGTTTCATATCCTGCAGTGTGAACTTCATCAGTCATAGTCATCTTCCTTAGGCATTGTTTTTAACTGTGAAAAGGACATCTTATATTTCACTGTGGCTTTTAAGAAAGGCCAGCTTAAAACAGTGAAGAACTTAATGAAAGCATAAATTTCTTCAAGATTATCTTCACATTTCTCGATTACCACTTCTCTGGTAATAGGAACTGAGAGTTTGATTAAAAAAATACAAATTCAAAACTATAACAAAGGAAATACTTGGTGGTGTTAATATAATTTCTTTAGACTTTTCTAACAAGTTTATAGAACTATTTTAATTTTAGCCTCTCATGACAACCTTGTGTTTTACAACTCTGTTGAAATCCAAACAAAAATGGTTAAATGGATTACTTAACATCACAAGTCTCCTAAAGTTTAGAATCTTACCTTCTGATACTAATCTAGTGGAAACAATTACTAAAAGTGATAGTCTATTTTTTGGGAGGCAGGCTGGAAAAAGGGTTTAAACTTCAAGGCCTCAGGTTTGCTTCATGGGGACTGTAAAGCTTGAGCCATATCTTTCTTTAGTCCCGCTTTTTACTGACTGTTTTAGAAATTGAGTCTGATGGACTTTTCTGCCCAGTTGGGCATTGAACCCATGATCCTCTAAATCTTAGCCTCCTGAGTAGCTGGAGTTAGAGACATGAACAACTGGCACCTGGCTAACTTTTGTCTTTTCTTACTAGGAACTTCAAAATTAGGTTTTTTTTTTCTCATTTCTGTGTGTTCTTGTGTACAAGTCTATAATTATTCAGATCAACTTTTAGAAAACCGTAAGATACTGGTATCTAGTGTGTGAATGTTCTGTTATAAATTCTCTGAAGATTTCTCCATTGCTTAGAATGCAGACTTATGTCTAAAAAAGTAATGGACTTGTATACAGAATATCTAATTTATATCTTTCGGCGCCTACACACTAGTGTGAATGTTACTTTGGGCTGTGGTGTGAGAAGTAAACAATGTGAGATCATCTCTTAATTACATTAATGGAGATAGAAAATAGATAATTAAGAAAATAATGCTTTCAATAGAAGTTATAAGAAAAAATTCTGTAAATAATTCTTATATATTGCTCCTAATTCTAGTTGTTCTAACTAAAGAAGTTTTTCGTAACCAACCCAGAATTTTGTTTCTTTTTTTTCCCACAGGTGGTCAGTCGGATCTGGGATATAATTCACTATCTCAGGATGAAGTTAGAAGAGGGGATACATCTATTGAGGATACTCAGGAAGAAAAATATAAAAAAGAGAGTGATTCTAGTTCCAGTAGGTACTGTTTAAGCTGGTTCTATATGCAGCTGTGAACTCACTCAGAAAATAGAAGTGACTTTCAGTACACAAATACTCTCCATTTTCATCTCATTTCTTCTTTCCTGCCATTGCAAACCTTCTTCAGTACCCAATACTTTCACCAAAATACTTCATGTATAAATTGTGTTATCTCTGTGACAAAGTACTCTCCAAACAAGTGCTATTAGAGTGAATGTTATTAATCATAAAGAATATTCTTATTATAGTAGAAATGTATATTTCTTGAAACAAGATTTTTGTCTGTTATTTAATAATATTTATTGAGATTAAACATTTCTCTCTTTTTTTTGCCAGTCTTGGGGTTTGAACTCAGGGCCTGAGCACTGTCCCTGAGCTTCTTTTAGTTCAAAGCTAGCACTCCACCACTTGAGCCGTAGCACGACTTCTGGCTTTTTCTGTGTATGTGTTATTGAGGGGTTGAACCCAGGACTTCATACATGCTAGGCAAGCACTCTGCCACTAAGCCATATTCCCAGCCCAAGATTAAACTTTCTTAATGGACTGCGTGTGTGTGTGTGTGTGTGTGTGTGTGTGTGTGCGTGCGCGCGTGTGTGTATGTGTATGTGTGTGTGTGTGTATTCCCCATAGAAACTCTCATTCACAACCATATATAAAATTGGTGCATGAACCTAATTTGGCCAACACTTAGTAATTTTTTGTACCAATACTAGAGATTAAATTCCATGCCATATGATCTTACTTGGCTTTTTTGCTTACAGGTGGTGCTCTACCACTTGAGCCATGTCTCTACTTTGGCTCTTTTGCTAGTTAATTAGAAATAAGAGTCTCTCAGATATGTCTTCCCAGGATGGCTTCAAACCAAGATTCTCAGATTCCAACATATTGAGTAGCTAGGATTATAGGTATAAGCTACCAGCAAAAAGTAACAACTTGATCCTTGCTTAGAAGCCTCAAATAAGTGGAATAACTTACTTGTGGTTGAGAAACAGAGAAATCTTTACTATGGTCTTATCACCAATTTTCAGTTAGAAATACATGACTGTAGTGCAGAATTGGTTTTGTTAGCTCTAGGGAGGTCAGACTATTAAAATTACTCTATGTTGTTCCTGCTGACTAAACCCTATTACATAAGACACATTCCTTAACTACAGATATTTTTTGTTGTTGTTTTTGTCAGTCGTGGGGCTTGAATTCAGGACTTGGACACTGTCCCTGAGCTCTTTTTCTCAAGGCTAGTGCTCTACCACTTTGAGCCACAGTGCCACTTAATGGTTTTTGAGTGGTTAATAAGAGTTGGGAACTTTTCTGCTGGGTTGGTTCGAACCACAATCCTCAGATCTCAGCCTCCTGAGTAGCTAGGATTATAAGCATGAGCCACTACTACCCAGCTCTTAACTACAGTTTTTCTGGGTGATTAAAATGGGTTATGTTGTTTATTATGAACTAATAAGAGTTTTCTCATAAATGGAGGGAAAAGAAATATGTAGGATTAAAAGCTGCCTCTCTTTATGCCTCCTAGAATGTTATAGGTCTTATTAACATTTTCATTTTCATCTTTATAGTGTCAGAGAATGAGAGTGCAAAAGGAAGCGCTGACTGCCTTCCTACACTCAGTTATCAAAGTTCTTCCAGTATAGTTCGCCTCGGTGGTACAAGTAAGAACAATGCTGATAAAATGTCTGGAGAAAGCACAGGTAAATTAAATAGCATACATTTTTGATGTTCAGAATGAATTGCATCTATATAACTAGTAATTTTTTTTGGTGGTACTGGGGTTTGAGCTCAAGCTTCATGCTTGCTAGGCAGGTGCTCTACCACTTAAGCCATGTCTGCAGCCCTTTTGACTCTGGTTATTTTTGAAATACGGTCTTGTTCTTTGCCTGGGCTGGCGTGGACTGTGATTTTCCTGTTTGTGCTTCCTGTTATAGCTAGGATGACAGGCACACTCTACCACATCCAGCCTTTTTTTTTTTTTTTTTTTTGTGTTTGGTTGTGGAGCTTGAACTCTGGGCCTGGGCGCTGTCCCTGTGCTCTTCAGCTCAAGGCTAGCACTCTACCACTTGAGCCACAGCACTTCCAGTTTTCTGGTGGTTAATTGGAGATAAGAGTCTCACAGACTTTCCTGCCCAGGCTGGCTTTGAATTGCGATCCTCAGATCTCAGCCTCTTGAGTAGCTAGGATTACAAGCATGAGCCACTGGTGCCTGGCACATCCAGCCTTTTCTGTTGAGATGGAGTTTCATAAACATATTTACCCAGACTGCCCTGGACCCACAATAAAATAATAGCATGTACATAATTAGGGTCATATAAACTTTTTGTAAAAGGCCTTATAAATATTTTTGGTCTCTCAGGCCATATGTAGTCTCTGTTACCTGTTTATTTGTGCATGGTTTGCATACCTCTTTATAAATATAAAAACTGCCTAAAACTGTACTAATACAGGCCTCAGGCCAGTTTTGGGCTGAGGTGTGAAGTTTGATGTGTGATGAAATTTGCCAATCTGTGATGTAGTCTTGATAGCCAGCTTTATTTAATCTCTCAGTGTTTTTCCAACCTATAAATGTTGGACTGTTTATGTTAGATATTATAAGTAAATAGCTGAAATAGTATCTGACAAGTCAAACTTAGTGAGTGCCTGCTATTGTCATTTTTATTACTACAATTTTAAATAGTTAAGAGGGCTATGTTTACACATTACATTTTCTTGTTTAAAAGTACTTTTCTTCTTTTTCAGAAAGCACACCTGAACTGCTCCTAATGTCATCTCTCGAGGATACAAATGACCCAGGAAATGTTCAAAGTAGATGCTTCAGGAAGAGACATAAAAGTGACAACGAACCTAATTTGCAGCAACAAATGTCCTGGGGAAATAGAAACCGTAATCTTAGTGGAGGGGTGCTGATGGGTCTTATGCTAAATAGAATTAACAAGGAAACAAACCCTGGAGATATAGTTGAAAAATTAGGTGCAGATGCAAAAATTCTTTCAAACGTTATCTCCAAAAGTACAAGACCAAATAGTCTTGATATTGGAAGGCCACTATTACAGTCAAAAAGAGACAGTCTAGAAAAAGAATCCAGTGACGATGATACACCTTTTGATGGTTCAACTTGTTTGGCAGATAAAGTAGATTCTCCTGTTATTTTTGACTTAGAAGATATAGACAATGAAATAGATAGATCAAAAGTGGGGTATACAGCTGCACAACATCTTAAGACAGTGCAGTGTATGAACAGCAGCTTTTCAGTAAAACCTTTTGAGAAAATTGACGTTGCAACAGGGTTTGATCCCCTCTCTCTTTTGGTTGCTGAGACTGAACAGCAACAAAAAGAAGAAGAAGAAGATGAAGATGACAGCAAAAGCATTTCCACACCATCAGCCAAGCGTGACTTAGCTGAAGAAATTGAGATGTATATGAATAACATGAGCAGTCCTTTGACAAGTCGTACACCAAGTATTGATCTGCAGCCAGCATGTGATGATAAATTAGCCAATAAGAAAAGTCCAACATTGGTCAAGGCCTGTAGAAGATCGAGCCTGCCTCCTAATTCTCCTAGGCCAGTGAGACTTACCAAATCTAAAAGTTATACCAAAAGTGAGGAGAGACCAAGGGACAGACTCTGGTCTTCTCCAGCCTTCTCCCATACTTGCCCATTTAGGGAAGAATCTCAAGAAATATTAACCCATTCATCACCTTCATTTAACTTGGATACACTGCTAGTACCTAAGCTAGATGTTTTAAGGCACAGTATGTTCACTGCTGGAAAAGGAGTTGCAGAGAAAGCAAGTAGATGGTACTCAAGATTCACCATGTATGCCATGTCATCAAAGGTAAACTATTAGTTTTTCCTACTTGTTCTTTCATATATTCTCTACCACTGAAAATCTATTACTAGTAGATATGTCAGCTTTAATCATTCTCCTTAATCACAGCTTAAAAAAAAAGACAATGGTTTGTACCTAAAGTATCTGTATTACATGGAAATACTAATTTTAGTTTCAGTGTTTCCTTAAAAATGCCAATTTTTTTCCAGAGAATGTCCAGTATGCCTGCAAAACTCACCAATTACGTGGCATCGCCTTCTGGTTAGGATGGACTAATGTATGGTAGGCCCACATACCTCCTAAGAGCATGAGTCTAGGGAAGTATAAAAAGCACCTGTTAGTCAGCAGAAAACTGCTAAAGAAGAGCTATGCCGTAGGAACATTGGCAAACCACAGATAGACAGGCCTAACCAACACTGTAACCTAGACTTGGTTCAATCTGTGATTAGATGAACATAATCATTCTTTATGTGACAGAGGAAAGAGTCACCATTTCTGAAGGAATCTTTATAATTTTGTGTATACAATATCTGCTGTTCAGTTTAAAATAGCCATTGCAAGTAACAGAACAATGGGGCTGGGAATGTGGCTTAGTGGAACAGAGCTTGCCTAACATTCATGAAGCCTATTCCTCAATACCATATAAACAGAAAAGCCGAAAGTGGTGCTGTGGATCAAGTGGTGGAATGCTAGCCTTGAGCAAAAGAAGCTGAGGGACAGTGCCCAGGCCTTGAGTTCAAGCTCCAGGACTGCAAAACAAAAAACAGAACCACGACTAATACAAGAAAAATAAAAACAGATAGTGGAAACAGAACCTCAGTTATCTAGATCACCTGATAATTCAAATGGCTTTGAAATAATTATATATATAGATATATATATTTCCATATTGGAGTAGAATAAAGATACAAACCTGGATGAAAAAAGTTGACTACACAAAAATGTTAAAGTCCTTTGTTGAGTGTTGAAAGAAGTGACATCGATCAAGTTGTACAACTCCTTTGTACAACTACTGAAAGATAATTAAAAAATGGAAAAAATCCTTTAGTGATTAAAATAACAATATGCATACACTATTAGAAAAAACAAGTTGTATCATCTGGTCCATGAAATTATAAGTATTTTGTAAATATATTCTTGGTATAACCAAAAATTTTGTTTAATGTTTTCAAAATTGAAGACAAGAGCTACGTCTTTAAAACTAAGTGCTTTTAAAAAATAATAATATGTAATTCTAATGGTATCATCTTATACTGAGGTTTACAGGAGGGAAATTAAAAATAAATTTAAAAATTGAAAGTCAGCATGGTTCCTTACTAGTAGATAGATAATTGCTAGAAGCAATTATATGTATCTTAAAAATTAATCACCAGCATTTTTATCCAGATGAGTATACCTTTTGTCAAATTGATTTATCTCCAGAAGTTGTGATGTTGGTTTAACTGACCATCTGGGTGGTTAGGGGATAGATATTAACACTTCCTTAAAACTGACTTCTTAAATAATTAATCTTAACTGTGAAGGAAATTAAGCTTATAATTATGTCCTTAGGATCAAAGTTCTGATCGTACCAGTCTTTCTTCAGTGGGAGCCCAGGATTCTGAATCTACCTCTCTGACAGATGAAGATGTCTGCCATGAGTTGGAAGGTGCCACTTCCTCCCAAGAGAGTAGTGCCACTTCAGGGACCAAGGGAATTGATGTCAGCCGGATGAGCCTGGAAAGTTCTGCCTCCTTAGAAGGTTTGTCCAGATAGTTCTGTCATACTACATAGATTTGTAGTACTTTTACTTTCTTTCTTTCTTTATAATCTTAAGTTTTCAATTTTGTAAAGGATTTGCTTAGCCTCAAAGAAAAATGGTAAAGGCTAAGGCATTCTGAGAGAAGTCTAGCTCCCGTTTCCCACCCCTTCACACAGTCCTTTTTTCCTGTCCCTAGAGATGTAATCATGCTTATTTTTTTTGGTTCATCTTTCCATAGTTGCTTTTCTTAAAGTGTAAGTATAAATATTTATATGTACCCTTATTATTTAAATCTCAAAAGATAGCAAGCTATAAATCCTTTCCCACTCATTCCTTAACAGTTCCTTCCTTAACAATATCCTGAAGGCCATTCATATATCACACAGCCAAGGCCCTCATTCATCCTTACAGCCCCATGGTTCATCATGTGTGCTTCTATCATATTGTCCTTTAGCCACTTCTCTGCTAGTAGACATTAAGGCTGCAGTCTTTGGCAGACTATAATTCACGTCATATTACATTTTTGCCAATGTATGAAGAAAATATTTCCAGATTTCATCCTTGAAGTAATGTTGCGAAATTCTCTTCCACCAGTGTATACTGCTTTGCGTTCTCATTGACAATGTAGAATAACTATTCCCCCCCCACACACACACACCTTCTCAATGAAATATGTTGGCAAACTTGTGGATTTTTGCCATCTGATAGGTGAGGAATATATTGAAGTGTTTAGTTTTTGTTTGTATTTCTGTTTTTAAAAAAAGTGAAAGCCAGGCATTGGTGGCTCACACCTGTAATCCTAGCTACTTAGGAGGCTGAGATCTGAAGATCTGGGTTTAAAGCCAGCCGGGGCAAGAAACGGAGACTCTTATCTCCAGTAAACTACTCAGAAGACCGGAAGTGGAGCTGTGGCTCAAGTGGTAGAGTGCTTGCTGAAGAGCTGAGGGATAATGCCCAGTCCCAGAGTTCAAGCCTCATGACCAAAACAAAAAAAAAAGTGAAGTTGGAAATATGGTGTTGAACTACACGTATTCCTTTCTATTGCTGGTGAACTGGTAATTTATACCATTTTTGCATTGAAGAAGACCTTTTTATTATTTTTGTTTTTCTAAATTACCTTTAACATTTTAAATAGAACAGGCTAACATCAGAATTAATGAAATTGGAAGATTCTTATATTGTTTCTCATTAATTTTAATACTGTTGCTCTTTGTTTTTCTTTTTAATAATCAACAGGGTCCCTGTCAAAGTTCGCTTTGCCTGGGAAATCAGAAGTGGCATCTTCCCTCAATACCAGTAATACTAATATCTTCCAGAACTATGCAATGGAGGTACAGCTTAACTCAAAAGAGTGTCATTGTGTACTACTTGATAAATTTTACATTTCTTAAGTATTGATGGCCGGCCCCTGCAAGAGTAACAAAAGTTAATATGTAGCTGGGCACCAGTGGTTCATGCCTGTAATCCTAGTTACTCAGGAGGCTGATATTTTAGGATTGTGAATCAAAGCCAGCCCAGGCAAGAAAGTCTGTGAAACTCTTTATCTCCGATTAACCACCAAAAAGTTGCAAGTGGACTTTGATTCCAGTGATAGAGCAAAAAAGCTCACATACAACGCCCAGGCAGAGTTTAAACCCCAGTATCAACACAGAAAGAAAAGTGTAGCATCTGAAACTTCAGAATTTATATCTCATCTGAATGAAATTAAAATCCAATTTTGACATACCTATTATTTCAGATTACTGAAGTCATGCTACTTTATTAGAACACTTCCATGCTTGCTTTGAAATTTATTAACATACAAAAGCATGTTCATTTTCAGCATCTATATTAGTACTTCACAACCTGAGCAACCAATTTTGCTGTGCAAGAGAATTTTGACAAGGGTATGGGAAGCAATTCTGGTTTAGGGTGCCCACTTTGTTTTCAGTCTTCAATTTCTGCAGAATATGCTCCCACATCCCATTTTCTTATAATAAAAAAGTTTTTGTTTCAGACTTCAAAATTTTTCTGTAAAAATTGATTGCAAGTATATTTGTAAGTGTGGTTGCTATTTTATGCTAGTTACATTTGCATATAGTTGGAAAATAAATATTGCAGCTTACAAATATTCTGTAACTTTAGGAATTTCTGTATTTTGTTAATATATGACAACAATTTACAGCAATGTTCCTTAAACTGTCTATAGTGACAAACTAGGCTTGTTCTGTTTAATTACTAATCCAGTACTGTTGTAAAAGTACATGGATTGCACAGTGGGCTGTTATAGCAATGTTAAATTACAAATTTCTAAATCTTTAGTTACTTTACTTAGCAAAAGCAGTAAGACCTCGTGGATGAGCATTAGTCTGATGACTGCACTTTAGATATAGTTATCAATCTACAGTTGCAAATACCTTTTGTGTGTTTTATGTATTGATGTATCACTAATAAAATCATATCAAATTTTATAGTGATTTTAATAGAAAATAATCAGGGCAAGTTTCTCAGGCAGAATTTTGGGATAGACTTCCCTGAAATAGTTGAAGATGAGCATATTATATATTACACCAAATATAGTTTAATTTCTATTTGTAGTGTTTGAAGCCTTCTGAGTTCCAATCCTTCCAGGAGGTTAATTAAATTGGCTTTAAAGCCACATTATGCACTAGCCAGCTTGCTTTATAAAGTGCCATCTTCTCCCCTAGGTTCTCATCTCTAGCTGTTCTCGGTGTAGAACATGTGATTGTCTTGTCCATGATGAGGAAATCATGGCTGGATGGACAGCGGATGATTCAAACCTCAATACTACCTGCCCATTCTGTGGCAATCTTTTCTTACCCTTTCTCAATATTGAAATAAGAGACTTAAGACGACCTGGAAGGTAAGCATATGTACTTTTTTTTTCCCTTTCGGTTTAAGGATCATGTCCTCTAGAATGTGTTACTCAAAAAGCTCCTTTGGTTGACATTCTAGATATTTTTTGAAGTCAGCTCCATCTACAGAAACTGTGCACTTTCCATCCTCCTTTTCAAGTCAGACAAGGCAGTCTTGCATTTCAACATCAGCCTCTGGTCTTGATACATCTGCCATCTCGGTTCCAGGAAAATTTGATCTAAACAGGTAAATATGATTTTAGAGAATTATTTTTAACATTGAGCATGTTTTAGTGATGGTGGCAGAAAAACCAGCTGCCCGTTTCAAGATTTAAATTTCTGTGAAAAGTATCTATGCCTATCATCTTAGCACTGGGTAGAGAAAGAGATAGAAGGGTTGTGAGTTCAAGGTCAACCAAGGGCTATATAGTGAGACTCTGTCTTGAATGATTAATTAATATCTCTGAAAAATAAAATTTATTATATTATTAAAATAGTGTTAAAAACTCTAATAGCTTAAAATTTAAATATTAAGTATTGATATGTTATGCTTCATGAGCTTCCAGAGTTTAAGACACACACACACATACACACGTATGATAATGTTTATCAAGCACTGAGTTTATAACTAAGCACTAAGTTCAAGCCCCACACCTGACAAAAAAGAAAGAATAGAACATTTATAGCTAATATTAAAACTGTAAAATTAAACTAAAACACAAAGTGAGCCTCATCCCAATAACCTATATTTAAATGCCAGATCAGCCACATACAACTGCACAGACTAGGCTATATTAGTAACTATATTGCAGAAAGAAATGCCCATGTGGCCTGTTTAATCCTAAATACCTTCATAGTAAAACAAGAATCTGCACTTCTTTCATCATAGATCTTTTGTAGCCTTGTCTTTGTCTTTCACTTACTCATGACTCCTAAAGAAGCATGTGTCCATTTACTTTGTATCCATAAGGGAAAGTAGTACTGTATTCAAGTTCTTTACTAGCCAGCTTCAGGGGCTCATGCCTGTAATACTATCTACTCAGGAAACTAAGATCTGGAGGATCATGGTTCAAAGCCTGCCTAGAGTAAAAAGTTGATGAGACACTATTTCCAAAATAACCAGCTAAACGAAAGCTGGAGGTGTGAATCAAGTGGTAGAATGCCAGCAAAGTATGCCAAGAGAATACAAGGCCCTGACTACAAACTCCAGTGCAACCAAAAAAAAGTGCCTCAAATTTTATTCTGAAATTTATCATATTATGTCATTTATATCCTAAAATAGGTTCTGTGATTCACACCTATACTCATAGCTACTTGTGAGATTAAGATTGAGAGGATCACAGTTTGAGACTAGTCCAGGCAGAAAAATTCATCAAAGGTCCTCTTGAACCTGTAACTGACATGATGTTATGGTAGCTACAATAGGAAAACTGAAGTAGGCAGATTTCAGTCTTAAGAATGTTTCTAGGCAGGAAGAAAGACCTTATCTCAAAAATAACTATCACAAAAATAGTTTGGAGGCATAGCTCAGTGGTAAGCTTCCTGGCAAGCCTGAGACCCTGAGTTCAGATGGATGGATGCATGGATGCATGGATGCATGGATAGATAATTTGTAGACTAAAGTCTGAATAACATATTTCTTTTGATTTATTCTGCTGTATCCAAAACATGGTTCTTCTAGATCAAATAAAGTGCTGTGCTTTTTTCTTTTTTCAATGCCCAAGCAAATCTAAACTGCAGGAAAATCCCTGTACCCAAAGTATTCAGATTCCCACCAATAGATCAAAAACAGCTGTGTCAAAATGTCCACTATTCCCAATGGCCAGGAGCATTAGTACTTACAGCCACTTGGATAAAGAGGATTCCAGAGGACAGAAACTGGTTCCCACAGGCAGCCTGCCAGCTACTTTACAAGGGGCTACAGTATGTATTACGATGTTTTTCTAAATTTTTAAACATTCGCATAATGTTATTCCCCTTGTCCTGAGAAGCCCTAGAAAAGTCAATTTTATAATTATCATGAAGATACGACAATTATATTACCTTTCCACTTAGAGGAAATTATTCACAGAAATATTTTTAAAATAATTTAATATCATCATTCTTATCTTTCTCATTTCTATCTTTGTTTATTCAGCAGGATTCTTTAGGGTTAGAATGGCACCTTCCAAGTCCAGATCCTGTCACAGTTCCATATCTTAGTCCACTAGTTGTTTGGAAGGAACTTGAGAGCTTGTTGGAAAATGAAGGTGACCATGCAATAACAGTGGCTGACTTTGTGGATCATCATCCAATTGTTTTTTGGAATTTGGTGTGGTATTTTAGGCGTCTTGACCTTCCAAGTAACTTACCAGGATTGATTCTTTCTTCTGAGCACTGTAACAAGTATTCAAAGGTATGAAAATAAAATTAAAAGACAATGCTATGCATGGGGGACATGGCTCATGTGGAAGAGCACTTGCCTAGCAAATAAGATGCCCTGAGTTCAAATCCCGTTACCACCAAAAATCAAGGTCTTAGGTTTGGGGAAAAATAGGATGCTTGGATTCTTTCTATAGACTCTGAATCAGGTTAAGATTCTTTCTCATTCAAGTTAAATACTTTGAGTGAGAAGTTTGTTACTTTAGGGATCATTAGCTTCTCAGCTCAGCTTATCTTCTAACTCTAGTAGATACCGGATGCATACAACTATTCATTTCCTGTTGTTGTTTTCTCTTCTGTACATTTACATCCTAAAAACAATATTTTGCATGTGCCAGTTCTGGACCATAAACTAGAGCCTGGGTGCAGTCCCTGAGCTTTTTTGCTAAAGGCTAGTTGAGCCACAGCTCTACTTCCAGCTTTTTGGTAGTTAATCAGAGATAAGACTCATGGACTTCTCTGCCCAAGCTAGCTTTAAACTGTGATCTGTAGGTTTCAGCCTCCAGAGCAGCCAGGATTACAGCCTTGAATCACTGGCGCCTGGCTCCCAAAAATATTTTTTATGAAGATTCTATAAAATATTTATAACAAATTATTATATAATGACCATTAACAAATGCTTTTTACTCTCAACCCAGATTCCCCGCCACTGTATGTCAGAAGATAGCAAATATGTTTTAATACAAATGTTATGGGACAATATGAAATTACACCAGGATCCAGGACAGCCCTTGTACATCCTGTGGAATGCCCACAGTAAGTGCCAGCAGCAGCTTATTCATACAAGACTGACCTCTACTCGCTTTAAATAGCCTCAACTCATGTATAACTACTTCACTGTACTATTTTGTCTTTCAGGTCAAAATCGTACTCTTTTGTTTGAGAGTGAGTGTTCAGTTTGATTTTTTTTTTTAATGCTACTTCTATAGAAGTCAAGTTTTTTGGTGTTTTGCTTTAATTTGGTTGTGAGGGGTGCGGTGTTTGTGCTAGTGGGGCTAGCTGTGTTTTGTATAATTCTGCTTTCAGTGCATCACTTGTCCCAGTTTCTTCTTTCTTATGTATTTTTGTTTCCATCCTGGCTGCTAAATGTAGAATTTACTTGAGGCACTGTATTAATGAAAAATGTTTTTAGTTATTGTCTGAGCCCATACAAAGCTTTAGGTTTATTTTTATCATTGGTTGTCTTTTTTTTTTTCTTTGCTTAACTCTTAGTTTTGTATTTCTTTGTGTATTTCCTTAATTTATGTTCAGTGCTTTGTAACTTTTGGTTGCTATTTATTTCTCTTTTCCTTCATCTGCTCTCTTGTTCTTTTATAGCCCAAAAGTATCCAATGGTACATTTGTTGCAAAAAAATGATAACTCATTTAACCAGGAATTACTGAAAAGTATGGTTAAAAGCATTAAAATGAATGATGTCTATGGACCAATGAGTCAGATTCTAGAGACACTGAGTAAGTGTCCGCATTTTAAAAGACAGAGGTAAGTTATTCTCTTTTAAGTGAATATATTGTTCTCTAAATAGTTTTGTTTTGTTGCATAGTCATTTTTAGCATACTTCATGTTTAAATCGGCATAAACTTGGTGTAGAGAATCAAGCCTATGGATTCTTACATTTTCTCTGTGTCTTTCCTTCCTAGGAGCTTATACCGAGAAATACTATTTCTCTCACTGGTGGCGCTGGGAAGAGAAAACATTGATATAGGTAACTCAGCATAATGTTTATATAGTACAGTGTAGCTTTTCAAAGTATTTTTATTGGTTTTTATTATATTAATATTAAGCAATATTGCTTTATTAGAAAACTGTTTCTTTAATGTTTTATCTAATATAAAATATACATTGATACTTTTCTCATGGAAGTAGTAATAACAATAATAATAACAATAATAAGCCAGACACTGGTGATTCAGGCCTGTAATCCTAGCTACTTAAAGAGGCTAAGATCTGAGGATCTCAGTTTGAAGCCAGCCCAGGCAGGAAAGTCCTTAAGACTCTTATCTCCAAAAAACTACTCAGAAAAATCCAGAACTGGTGCTTTGGTTCAAGTGGTAGAATACTAGCCTTGAGCAAAAGAAGTTCAGGGACAGAGCCTAGAACCAGAATTCAAGCCCCAGGATCAGCAGAAAAAAAACCATTAATAATAATAATATGATTTTGGGGGTGGGGGTTGTGGGGCTTGAACTCTGGACCTGGGCACTGTCCCTCAGTTCTTCAGCTCAAGTCTAGTGCGCCACCACTTGAGGCACAGCACCACTTCCAGCTTTTTCTGTTTATGTGATCCTGAGGAATCAAACCCAGGCCTCACACATGCTAGGCAAGCACTCTACCACTGAACCACCTTTCTAGGCCATGATTTTTTATGTCAAGTGATACATAGAGTCGTTACAGTTAAGTAAGGTAGTGATTACATTTCTTGTCGACCCACTGCCCCTCGTTTTTCTCCTTCTTTCCCTACCTCCCATCCCCCCAAGTTGTACAGATCATTTCCAACATAGATTTTTATATAAGAAAATACACTGAAGCCAGTGAAGCCAGTGTGTTTTCTTATATAATTTTCTCAAAAGTCCTTTGAGAATAGGTACTATTAAATTTCTATATCATTGAAGATACTGAGGATCTGAGAGGTAGGTAATTTTATCTTGTTTTCATGCGTATAATTGAGCTATATTTAAACCAAGCATTCTCAATTTCCAAACCCATGCTTTTAAGTATGATATAATTTATTAATGACATTAAGCTTTCTTTTTTTGGGGGGGGGTCCAGTCGTGGGGCCTGAACTCTGGACCTGGGCGCTGTCCCTCAGCTCTTCAGCTCAAGGCTAGCACTCTACCACATGAGCCACAGCGCCACTTCTGGCTTGTTTCTTTTTGCTTATGTGGTGCTGAGGAATCGAACCCAGGGCCTCATGCATGCAAGGCAAGCCCTCTACCACTGAGCCACCTTCCCAGCCCAATGACATTAAGCTTTCTCAGAAAGAACAAAGTAGGTAAATACATACTTTAGGAGCTCCCAAGCTTTTTTGGTTAGTTATCTCCTCCCCCCGTTACTGTGTTTAGCCTGTTGTTGTTATTGTTGTCGTTTAAAAAGACAGGGTCTCACTGTGTTACCCAGGCTGTTCTCAAACTCCTGTGTTTAAATGAACCTCCTATCTCAGCCTCCTGAATAACTGGGACTACAAAGTTGGAAATCACTTCAAGCTAGCTTGGCCTCTTTGCAAAGCCCTGGTAGACAAGCTATTTATTTATATTGCGAAGTTCAAGTAGTGTTTTGGCATTCTGTTGGAAAATTTACAGGTTTATAAATAGGTATGAAAATGATTGTTGATACATGCAATTCATCTGACTTGAGTGGTATCTGACTTGACTGCTCTACATAAGCCCACTCACCAATTAATGAAAAAAATGTATAATCAATCATGCTTCTGTTCGGTGATTATACATTGGTCTTTACAAAAAACAAGTCTACGCATTTGATTTGACTTTAAGCACCACAGTCATTTTTTAATGACCACATACATAATCATGGTGATAATATATAATAAACATGTGCATTATTTTCAAGTTCCTCAATTGAGACCAGGTAAGCAGGCTTTGTAGAAAGCAAGGCTCTTCTGATGCTGACTTTCCAATTAATTCATAGAAGATGAGTGAGAGAGCAATAGTTTCTGAGTCAAGTAGAAAGCCAAGCATAGCCAGCTCTAACTTAGATATTTCAAGAGTGTATTAATTTCCAGCCAACCAGAAGTGAATGACTTGTCCCCCTAAGCACTTGTCAGCTTTCATGCCAGGAGACAGATTATAGAATTTAGCAGCAAAGGATATGTGGGAGTAAGATAGCAAGCCTCTTACAGAATGCAATTATTAGAGAGGTGTAGAATTTTAAATACTTTAAGACAAAAAGACTAGTTGAAAGTAGGTAAATTTGCTTCTTTAGAATGTGGGAATGAAATTTTGGCTTACACTGAACTGGTCTTAAAAGTTCTAGCTATGAACCCCAAACACAGAGGGAACTATATTGAGTGACTTTAGAGGGGGAAAAAAAGTCAGGGAACACTATAGTTGGAAGTTGTATTAAACTGATCACTACTTAGTTGGAATAAATCTGAGAAATTCTAGAGTCATTCCAATAGAAATGTAAAATGTAAGCTGGATGCTGATGGCTCATATCTGCAATCTAGCTGTTCCAGAGGCTGAGATCTGAGGACTGGAGTTCAAAGCCAGCCTGGGAGGAGAGTCTTGGCTAGAAAAGTTTGTTAGACTCTTACCTCCAATTAACCACCAGAAAACTGGAAGTGGAGCTGTGGCTCAAAGTGGTAGAGCAATAGCCTTGAATGAAAAAAGCTTAGGGACAGCACCCAGGCCCTGAGTTCAAGCCCCCCAACAACAACAAAGTAAAATGTATTTTTTTTAATTGTCAATACTGGTTGTTGACCTCAGTAGGCTAGGCTGGTACTATACTAGTTGAGCCAAACTCCCCACACCAGATGTAAAAGTTCTTTAGAATCAAGGAATATTTGATACAGAAAGGTGAAGGAAACAGATCTATGTTTGACCTGTAATTTTATGTGTGAATAAAATATTGTAGGAATGTGCTACGCTTCCCTTTGCACTATTTCCATTTAACAGAGGATAAAAATAAATGGCTTCAAATTTCAACTGGTACTTTGAACAGAATGTTATGAATATTTCATTGTACTTTAATGGTTTTGAAACCCTGCTGATATTAAAAAATAAGAAATTTTCTGGGTGTTATGGTTCACACCTATAATCCTAGCTACTGAGGAGCCTGAGATCTGAAACTCATGGTTCAAAGCCAGCCTAGGCAGGAATGTCCCTGACACATTAACCACTAGAAAACCAGAAGTGGTGCTGTAGCTCAAACTGGTAGAGCAAAGGAGCAAAGGAGCTCAGGGACAGTGCCCAGGTCCCTGAGCTCTAGCCCCAGGATCAGTACTAAATAAGTAAATAAGATATATACATATAAGAAATATATGTATATATATATATATACGTATATATATATATATATATGAAATAAAGCTGGGCGATGGTGGCTTATGCTTGTAATCCTAGCTACTCGGGAGGTTGAGATCTGAGGACTGTGGTTCAAAACCAGTCAGGGCAGTAATGTCCATGAGACTCTTATCTCCAGTTAACCACCAGAAAAACAAGTGGCGCTGTGGCTCAAGCGGTGCTGGCCTTGAGCAGAAGAGCTCAAGGAATGCACCCAGGCCCAGAGTTCAAGTCCACGATCAACCAAAAAAAAAAAAAAGAATATATAAGAAACAATAAGGGAATTGAAATGGTACACTAAAAAATACCTAGTCAACACAAAAGTATGAAGTAATGAAAGAATGAAGATGGAAAAAAGACAACAAACATACAGAAAAATACCCAATTGCAGATATGACATCAAAATTTGCAGCATATGTAAACTGTCCAATTAAAAGGATGGATAGAAGAGTAGATTTTTAAATATATATTATATATTTTTTAAAAATGTATATGTATTATATATACATACATACATATATATATATGCTCTATTGGTTGAATATAAGAGGCATAGTTGGTGCAGGGGGTGTGGCTTAAGTGGTAGAGTGCCTACCTAGCAAGCCTGAGGCCCTGAACTCAAACTTTACTACTGGAAAAGAGAGAGAAAGAGACTGTAAGCCAGAATGAAAAAAGACATTTGTAAATCACATATTGTATAATTGCTTTGTATTTAATATATATAAAGAACTTTTATGACAAGAATAGAAACAGATAATCTTGGGCATATCTGGGGGAGGAATTTGTAATTCACACAGTATTTAGCATTTTGAGGAAACACAAGACTGTTTCCAGTGTCTACATCATTTCACATTTCAATCAGTAGTATATGTGGTCCCAATTTCTCCACATACTTGCCAACGCTTGTTGAGCATCTTTTCCTGTGTTTTTAATTGAACAGAAGGGATGCCAAGAAAGATTACTCACATCATGTTTACCAACCCTTGCTTTTCTATCCAGTGCAAACCCAGATACAGTTGGATAGATTTTCTAGTCCTCTGCCCTAGGGATTTCATTGAGTGTCCATAGAAGGCTGGGCTTTGAAGCTAGAGAAGCTTACTTGCTCATGCATTTGTCTGTCAGTTCACATCAGCCATCATGAGCCTCACTGTGGCACTGTTGCTAGTGTCTCTCATCTTGCCAAAGCAGAAATATGGGACCTGGTAACATTCAGACATAAACCGTATCTCACTTAGATCAGTTAGGGGCAATTTTTATCCAGGATGCTTTAAAAATGTCAAATAATAAATGACTTCCAGACATACTTTAACAGAGACTTGAAAACTGGTATTCTCCATTTTTTCATCCCATATGGGTTATGTTCTGGACAAAATCCCACACACAAGCCTCGGTATAATGTCCTTTTTTGTGTGCTCTTTTTTTTTTTTTTTAACTCCAGAACTGAGGGGTTAAAACTAGGGCTAAGCAGGTATTCTATATCTTGAGCTACCTACCCCTGGCCTTTTTGGTTTGTTGGGGAGCGGGGATTGTGTTTGTTTTTTGTTTGTTTTTTTTTGTTGTTGTTGTGGGGCTTGAACTCTGAGCCTGGGAGCTATCCCTGAGCTCTTCTGCTCAAGGCAAGCACTCTGCCACTTGAGTCACAGCTCGCTCAAGGTGAGGGCTCTATCATTTGAGTCACAGCTCCACATCTGGCTTTTTGGTAATTAATTGCAGATAAAGTCTCATGGAAAGCTGTGCGCTGGTGGCTCACGCCTATAATCCTAGCTACTCAGGAGGCTGAGATCTGAGGATCATGGTTCAAAGCTATCCTGGGCAGGAAAAGCCATGAAACTCTTATCTCCAATAAACCACCAGAAAACGGAAGGGGCACTGTGGCTCAAGTGGTAGAGTTCTAGCCTTGAGCTGAAGAGCTGAGGGACAGTGCCCTGGTCCAGAGTTCAAGCCTCATGACTGACAAAAAAAAAAAAAATCTCCTGCTGGGCACCAGTGGCTCATGCCTGTAATCCTAGCTACTCAGGAGGCTGAGATCTGAGGATCACAGTTCAAAACCAGCCTGGGCAGGAAAGGCCATGAGACATATCTCCAATAAACCACTCAGAAAACTAAAGTGGCACTGTGGCTCAAAGGGTAGAGCACTATCCTTGAGCTGAAGATCTGAGGGACAGTGCCCAGGCCCAGAGTTCAAGCCCCATGACTGACCAAAAAAAAAAAAAAAGTCTCATGGACTTTCCTGCCTGGCTGCTTAGAACAGCAATGCTTAGATCTCAGCCTACTGAATAGCTAGGGTTATAGGTATGAGCCACCAGCGCCCCACAAATTTTTCTTTGAGCTACAATCTTGCTAACTTTTCCTCGGCTGGCCTTCAACTTATGATCCTTCTGCCTCTACCTCCCAAATAGCTATGATTACAGGCATGAGCCACCACTCCTAGCTAATGTCTATAAAAATAATAAAAGTTGTGTTGAGTATTAGAGCACTTGCTTAGCGCATATGAGGACAGCAATAATAGAGAAAGAGGAAAAGGAGCTAGGGGCATGGCTCAAATAGTAGAATGCCTACCTAGCAAGCGTAAGACCGTTAGTTCAAACCTCATTGCCACCATAAAAAAGAAAAGAAGGGGAAAATCATTACATGGTAATGTTAGAAGATATTTTTGTCCCCCCTCCAGGTTATCTTATAATAGGGAATTTAGGATACAGAAGACAAAAAATATCAATATGAAAAAAGCAAGGTTTGTATGGCATTCAGTGATTTTTTTTTTTTGGTCCATCATGGGGCCTGAACTCTGGGTCTGGGCGCTGTCCCTCAGCTTTTTCAGCTCAAGGCTAGCGCTCTACCACTTGAGCCATAGCACCATTTCTGGCTTTTTCTGTTTATGTGGTGCTGAGGAATCGAACTCAGGGCTTTGTGCATGCAAGGCAAGCACTCTACCACTGAGCCACCTTCCCAGTCCCATTCAGTGATTTTTTTTTTAACATCTGTACTAGGTAAGATTAAAATCAGTGTGGGTGATCTAACTCTAAAACTCCATGGTCGCTAAGGTCCCCTGTCTAGCCTTGAAAATTGGTGTCTTTTGAATGGCAGAAATATCCTTGATGTATGTTCTTACATCTTAATTTTGTTTTTTTTTCTTTTTGCTTATGTGGTGCTGAGGAATCCAACCCAGGGCCTCATGCATGCAAGGCAAGCGATCTACCGCTGAGCCACCTTCCCAGCCCCTACATCTTAATTTTGTGGTTTTATAATATTATAGAGCTCAGCTGTAGTCAACATCAGACATAAATTTCATTGTCTTTATTTCTTCATTTTTGCAGATGCATTTGATAAAGAGTACAAGATGGCATATGATCGCCTCACACCCAGTCAAGTCAAGAGTACACACAACTGTGACAGACCACCAAGTACGGGAGTGATGGAATGTCGAAAAACCTTTGGAGAACCTTATCTTTAAGATGTGTGTGTGTGTGTGTGTGTGTGTGTGTGTATACATTTGATGTGTATTGTATAGTCAGTGTACAAAATAACACTTTTAGACTCTAAACTTTTTTTTAAAATTTTGCAAGTGTATTTGTAAATGGTTTGGAAAGTTCAGAATGCCTATGTATAGAATGCTTTCAGAAGAGAATCATGACAAACGGGGAGAGACACTTTGTTTCCCCTTCTTTATTCTTTTACCTTTAACTCCTTGTAAGTATTTTTGTGATGAGGAAATCCCTAAATTAGTTGCCATAAAATGAGACAACTTTTTTTTATGGTTTCTTTTGGAAAAGACAGATGGGGAAATCATGTGTGAAACCTAAACAGAAATGTAAGATCAAAGTATCTCTTGTTTTCATAGATTATTCAGATGTTTTGACCATGAAGTTGTATTATACATATTTTAAATTGTTTATAGTAAGTTGATATTTTTTTAATTTTTAAATTTAATATAGCAAACCTAAAGTGAATTTAAACTTATGGAGCAAGCGTTTATTTTGTCTGCTGCTATTTAAAGTAATTAGTACAGCTGCAGATATCTATGTAAGTCTATCGATCTATTTTTTTTAATTACTTGGGAGAGTAAATTTAAATTGTCAGTGCTAGTGTCAGTGTCATCCTGGGATTGCATGTTAACCCTAAGCCTGACAGGCTAGTGTCAGTGTCATCCTGGGATTGCATGTTAACCCTAAGCCTGACAGTGGTAAGTGTGTCACAGCAGGCCATGTGCACTGCCCAGTGACTCAGCAAGCTTTGTGCAAGGAGAGCAAGACAGGTTCACTATGCTGCGAGTCCAGACTCTCCATTGTTTCTTGTGGACACATAACAGTACACAGAGGAAATAGCTCACAATCCAAATATCAATTTCAATTGTAATGTGATACCTGAAAACCTACTTTGGGGAATATGACAGAAGTTTATTCCAAATTTCATCCTTATTTTAATACCTAAAATACTGGGTTTGATGCAGATTTGTCCTATAAAATATTTATCTGAAAATATGATTTACTGATCTATTCTGTTAGACTATATATAAATATTCAAAGTATTTTTTGAAAGTAGAAAAATAGTTATCCTCTAAAAGAATAGCCAGATAGAATTTCCCATATTGAGGAACTTAGCTTTTTCAACAAGCTTCAGAATCTGAAGTTTATGGAATCTAAAATGCAGAAATATCCATAAATCAGACAATAAAATGACTGTTTAAATACCATGGATATTTAATTGACTTGAAAATATATTTTTAATTGTGTTGTTTCTAATGACACTTTTCTTTAAGTAATTTCTGATAAGAAAAGCATCCCTTGGCCTTTAGAATTATTTATAGATGTTTAAATAAATATATGTGTACATTCATGTAGATTGTCATTAATGAAGGAAGTCTCTAGCTATTATAAAGAAAAAGAAAAATTTGGATGGCTCCAAATTATGTATATTAAACCAATGTAATATGTAACACTTGAATTAGAAATGTCTTGAAGTCCCAACTCAAAATTAGTTCAGCTAGCCACAGAAAAACCATTATTTAAAAAATTGTAGCCAGTCACCAGTGGTTCATGCCTATAATCCTGTCTACTCAAGAATGGATGGAAATCGAAGGTTTTAGTTCAAAGCCAGTAGGGCAGATATCCCAGAAAAAAGCCAGAAAGTAGAGGTATGGCTCAAGAGGTAGAGTACCAGCCAGCTTTGATAAAAAAAAAATAAAATAAAAAGCATGAGCATGGGCCCCTGAGTTCAAGCTGGTACGCATGTGTGCGCACACACAGACACACACACATGCACACAAAATACAAAGAACAGAGATGTATTTGGCTCATGGTTCTGGAGGCTATGAAGCAGAGGAGCATGGTGCTGGCTTCAGGTGGGGATCTCCTTATAATGTGGCAAAGATTGCCATGGAAGACAGATACAGAAAAATTAATACCACCAAGCTGAAACAGCTCACAACTCTACTTTGATAAATAGTTGGAAACAGTGTAAAAAACGTGAAACTCATGATTACTTGAAAAAAATCTGGTGCTATGCACATCAACCTGCCTCCCCTTTGTAAATACCGCTGCACTCTGCTCTCTCTGCTTATCCACATCCTAATGTGCTCTAAATTTTAAAAGTGATGGAAACTTTTGCTCCAGGAGACTTTTCATCTTGGTGGCAAACATCTTCCACAGTCCTGGGCATTTGCTTCTGGTGTTTATTTTGTTTCCTTGTTTTAAATCACTGGGCGCTAGTGGCTCACACCTATAATCCTAGCTATTCAGGAGGCTGAGATCTGAGGATTGCAGTTCAAAGCCAGCCCAGGCAGGAAAGTCCATGAGACACTTATCTCCAATAAACCACCAGAAAACTGGAAGTGGTGCTGTGGCTCAAGTGGTAGAGCACTTGCCTTGAGCTGAAGAGCTGACAGAGCCCAGGCCCAGAGTTCAAGCCCCATGACCCACCAAAAAAAAAAAAAATCATACTACTACGTATTCTTACACAAACAAAATATAAGGATCATCATTTATGAATTTTAGATGTCTGACCCAAAGGAGTGAAGCAATGTTCATTCTTTATGGTTCCAACTCATTTGGAAACACTAATATCATTTTACTTCCTCACTGGGTCCTGAGTTTTATTTCATTTTTGAAAAAGATTGTTCTTCCTTTGCTTTTATTCCCCAGGGAATATTACTGCATAAAGTCTTTCATAACCTAAAACTTGACTACAAAGTGGCAAAACCCTGCTCCAAAGAAAATTAAACTAGGGATCATACTTTTAAAACTTTAATAAAAACATTTTTTTAGCTTTTTCTCTCTTGACTATGTTAGCTCTTATTCTCTTAATTTACTTCTCTTTAAATGGGTGAAAATAAATCATACTCTGTGCTAGTGTAATGTTAACTACTTTTTCTCAGTATGTCTGAATGTTACACATTTGTATTTCATATCATATTTCAGGTATTTAACTTTTTCTTCCTGTTGCCAGGTAGAGAATTATGCAGCTATTCATCTTCTAATTGTGTCTTCCCCCCACCCCCACTGGCTTTTCTGGACTCCTTTCCTTTAAAACCCTAAAACTGTCATCTCATTTTATTATCAAGGTTTCTAATGTGTCACCTCATTTTTGTATATAGAGAAATGGCCCTGGAAAATGTTGGTTCAACATTTTAGGCAATAAAAACTTATTTTTTACTTGATGCTGATAATTACTACTATACTTCAGTGCAGCTAATGAATGTCAGCTAGTTCTACACATTGTGTTATATTTTAAATACTTTGTGATACGCAGAAAGAAAATGTTTGTTGATGTGCAATGGTTCAGTTTTAGTTTTACATCTACTAAAACTTCAGAGCTGACATTGGGCACTTTATGTCATAGCAAGAAGAGCATCCTGCCTCTCTGACAGGGTGCTTGTTCTTCAAATCACAAGTAGCATGTTCTTCCTCTATCTGGATGTAACACTAAGCTATGCTTCGGAATCAAACTCTAGTATCCACATTTCCTTCATAAGACCATAACATCCTAAGTACTTAGTATCTTATCCTCCCACGCTACCTTCTGTGGCCTCAAGGAAAACATATTTGCTGGTTACATTATTTTTGTTTACATAGAGACAGTATAAGAGTCAACATAGATCTCAAACCTCTGTATACAACTGAATGTCAGTGGCTCACACCTATAATCCTAGTTACTTAGGAAGTTGAGATCTGACAGTTGCAGTTTGAAGCCAACCTGAGCAGAAAAGTCTCATGAGACTCTCATCTCGAAAACAAGAAGTGGAGCTGTGGCTCAAAGTGGTAGAACACTAGCTGGCACCAGTGGCTCATGCCTGTATTCCTAGCTACTCAAGAGGCTGAGATCTGAGGATCACGGTTCAAAGCCAGCCAGGGCATGAAAGTCCATGAGACTCTTATCGCCAATAAACCACTAGAAAAATGGAAGTGGCGCTGTGGCTCAAGCGGTAGAGCGCTCGCCTTGAGCTGAACAGCTGAGGGATAGCGCCCAAGCCCAGAGTTCAAGCCCCACAACCGACAAAAACAAAGTGGTAGAACACTTTTTAAGCAAAAAAGAGAAAGAGCTCAAGGACAATACCCATGCCCTGAGTTAAAGTCCCACAACCAACCAAAAAGAAGAAAGTCTGTGCATATGCTAGTGTTATAAGATGGCGGCAGACCCTTCTGAAATTGTCTTCCATCACTGCTGTTCCTTTGGATGTATCCTTCCTTTTGTATTTAAAGATTACCTTTCCAGATACAGTACTGTGACTTAAAAACATTACATGGATGGCACTGACTGGGGAAAGGATGTGTTTTTGTAACCATTAAGTAGCATTTTATCGTTACAAACAATTCACTACCCTAATTCCTTATTCAGTCTCATAGGCAATGTCAGGCCTTGGCCTGTTGGTGAGGAAATGATGTCCTCATGGCCAGCTGTAATTGCCCGCAGATTGGTGCCTAAATGTTTGATATGGGCTCTCTTCTAGGCATTGTTCTCTCCTGTTCTCAGGTCATGGCATATGGGGGTCCTACAGAGTAACAGCATCCAGAATAAGAATAATTAATATAAGATTATGGAATTTGAACATAATCATACCGTTGGATCTAAAAATAGAGATAAGCATATCCATATTTGTGAAAGAAAATACCACTGGGAATCACAATTTTATTGAACTTTAATAAAAGTTACTTCCAAAAATAAGAAGCTTTAAATAGTGAGGCAACTAATTAAATCAACCAACTTATCTGGGAAGATGGAGTACTTTGAATATCACAGCTCCAAACACCAAAATCTTCACGTCTGCCCTGCTTGGTGAGTCATTCCTCATGTTTGTAAATAAAGCTGTATTTTTCTTTGTAATCTGCAGATAGATACCTAAGCTCCTTGTGCACTGAAATCAGGAACATAAAACTTTTATTTCTAATACACCCTTAACATGAGCCTAGTAAAAGCAGCCAGCAAAATTCCACATGTTTTACTGCAGTTTTTGTTTTTGTTTTAATACAAATGTCCTGGGCCATGGGTGTTGCTCGTGTGATTGAGAACTTGCCTAAGCATGGCTCAGGCCCTGGGCTTCATCTTCTGTACCTTTTGTGTGCGTGTGTGTGTATGCCACTCATGGGACATGAACTCAGAGCCTGGGCACTGCCGTTGAGCTTTTTTGCTCAAGGCTAGCACTCTACCTTGAGCCATAGCATCACTTCTGGCCTTTTCTGTGTATGTGGCACTGAGTTTGAACAGAGTTAGAACAGAGTTTAAACCCAGGGCTTCATGCATGCTAACCAGGCACTCTACTACTAAGCCACCTTCCCAGCCCCTTCTGTACCATTTTTAATTTTTTTTTCACATAGAAGTAGCATATTGTCACTGTGCTAAGCATTTCTAGAATTTCTTCTTTGTAAATTTACATAATTTAGCAACCACACAAGGAACTGATCACACTTCATCTAGGATGACATACAAAAAAATAGCATTGCCATTTAAGTCTCTATTTATTTATTGTGCTGGTCCTGGGGCTTGAACTCGGGGCCTGGGCACTCTCCCTGTGCTATTTTGCTGAAGGCTAGCACTCATCACTTCAGCCACATCTCCACTTCCAGCTTTTTGGGTGGTTAATGAGAGATAAGAGTCTCATGGACTTTTCTGCCCAGGCTGGTTTCGAACTATGATCCTCAGATCTCCGCCTCCTGAGTAGCTAGGAGTCTGTTACTTTATAAGCCAGGTTTTGTTGTTCTTACTTTGGGCTCTTTAAAACCACATCCCTTTTCACTCACTAGTGACAGGTGTCGCTGCAGGTGAGAACATGCTCATGGGGCAGAGGCAGGATGTAGCTTCATGATTATCTCTCAAGGATGTAGCTTCATGATTATCTCTCAAGGTGGCCACTGCTAGAAGCAGCCACAAACTTAGATTTTCTAGGAAGTACATATTTGTAAACGACCCTTAGTTTTTCTTCTCTAATCACCACTCCTCCTTCCAATTCAAGGCAAATTACACACTTTCTCATTTTTAATTCTGCTTTCCAGGAATGAAAAAGAAAAGAAAAATCTCTTCCCTTTAAGCTAGAAAATAGTAGTGGTACATTTTATTGGGCTGTGATATAGAAGAATTGATTCCTGGTATACCTCTTTCCTGTAGACTTAACTCCTTAAACTTCAGTAACTGAACCTAAAATGATTGCCAACAGAACAAAACTTAACCTTTGAACAGAGTTTGACACAGCACATTGCCATGTGCACTTGGAGAAGGACCAGGAGAAAAAGGTGCCAACCCCATCTGCATCTTTGGACCAGCGACTCTTCTGGAAAAACCAAGAAACTGTGAGCAAAGGAGCTTGATATGCTTTCCCAACCCTCACCCCATTGGTCTCTCATTTAGAAATCCCCCTGGCTACAGGAGTTCTTCTGTCTGCTTTTGACAGATGACTGCCTGAGTCTGCATAAATAACCCTCCCTTTCTAAGTATGGATCTTTTGGGGGTGCAGGGGAGGTTGTCTGGTACCAGTACTGGAACCTGATCTCAGGGCTTCTCGCTTGGCTTGCTTACTCACACCTGGCCCTCTACCACTTGAGTCACATCTCCAGTCCAAAGGTGTGGATCTTGCTCCACAGTGAGCTTCCAGTGTCTCCAAGGAGAAGGCTGGGTCCCCGAACTCATTCACTTCAGAGGGTCTGGCCTATTTCAGTTCACTCTTCAGATCCCGTTTATTTGTGCATGTAAGGTAACAAGAGGAACAATAACTTCTGGTATGGTTTTCTGATCTATGTCTTTTCTGAGCATCAGTGTCTGACTCAGACAGATACAGGACAGGATATGATTCGGTCTTCCAGCAGCACGCTGATGATCAGAAATATAAAATAAAGAAGGAACATTGTGAAGCCCAGGATCTTGTTCATTCTCCACTTGCATGATGCAATTGAAGAAATCACAAACAGGAGCATGAGAAACAGCAAGACGATTGCACAGAACAGGCCATTGCTGCTGACTGGAACAGGCTGTAATCCATTGATAAGAGAGAAAAGCAGCCAGGGAACAGGCAAGCTGCAAGATTAAGGAAACTATGAATATTTATAATGCTTATAATAACCTCACATACTTAATTAGTATTTTCTGCTTAAAAAGCACTTATATTTTTACACACATAAACTATAAAGTAGGAAAAAAACTGGTAGGCCCATTTACATATGAGAAAATAAAAGACTGGGGGAAATGAAATTATTAGCCCAGAGACTAATCTTTGGCAGAGCCTAGATTAAAACAAGTACTGTTAATTTGAGCTTTGTATTTTTATTGCATGCCTAATGCCGTTTTTGTCACTAACCCAAATCAATCCATATGTGACTCTTAACATTTAAATTTTTAGGATTAAGGCCTGTCTTAAGAAACAATGTAAGCCGGCGCCTGTGGCTCACACATGTAATCCTAGCTACTCAGGAAGCTGAGATCTGAGGATCGCAGTTCAAAGCCAGCCCTGGCAGGAAAGTCCGTGAGACTCTTATCTCCAATAAACCACCAGAAAACCGGAAGTGGCACTGTGGCTCAAGCGGTAGAGCACTCACCTTGAGCTGAAGAGTGCAAGGACAGCGCCCAAGCCCAGAGTTCAAGCCCCACAACCCACCAAAAAAAAAAAAAAAAAAGATACAATATATTTAAATTCTTTAGTGATTAGGGCTCTCAGTTTCCTTTTTGCCACCATCTGCCACTCTAATCCATTATACACATCCACAAATTAATTCTGGGTAAAAGAACCAAATCCAGGATGTCCTGGAAGAAATGAATGTGGCCCAAGTGCTCTGCTCTGACAAGGCTGAGAGTTCAGGGAGAGGTGGTGACAGGAAGCAACAATATAGCTAAACATTGGTAGCTGGGGCCTGTAATCCTACCTACTTAGGAGGTTGAGATCTGAGTATCCTGGTTCAAAGCCAGCCTGATCAGGCAAGTGTATGATACATTTATGTCCTGCAGATTGGAACAGGCTGTAACCCATTGTTAAATACCAAAAAGCTGGAAATGGAGCTGAGGTAGCCTTTTGCTCACCCCAAATGCTGTTCAGAGCCTCTGAACCCAAATAGAAAAGAACTGGAGTATCAAAAATAGGGCCTCCTGAGTAACTAGGATTGTATTCATAACATGCTTTGTTAAATGGCAACTCCTTTATACACCTACTTAAATATTAAAAAAAATAGGGCCTCAGGATGTAGCTCGGGGAAAGCATTTAATGTGCACACATCCCTGCCTTTCATTCCCCAGCACCAGAAAGCAATCAAAAAAAGTGAAATGACTCTTTCTTGCCCTCCCGTGCCTTCCACCATGTATTGAACTATATTGGGGGATGGAATGGAATGCACTTCGAGTTCATCTGTAAATTGCAGTCAGCTACATGTGAGACAGCATCCTTGTTCTTGAGTCAGTATCTTAATTCTGCTGTGCCACCTGGCTCTGATGAAGGAAGGGGATATACTTTGTTAGCCTTATAGACAACAAGGCCTTGGTGGCTCATGCCTATAATCCTCAACTACTCAGGTAGTTGAGATCTGAGAATCATGGTTCAAAGGCAGTCCAAGCTTATCTCTAAGCTGGAAATGGAGCTGTGGCTCAAGTGGTAGAGCACAAAACCTCAGAGACAGCACCCAGGCCTTGAGTTCAAACCCCAGGACCAGTATACACACACACACACACACACACACACACCAATATAAATGTCCCTTTTTGCATATATAGTGAGTGAAGAAGAAAATTAGTAAGCAAGGCTAGAATTGGATTTCAAGGACGGAGAGAGAAAAGGACAGAACCAATTGCCACTCACCCCACAGTGATGTCAAATATGTTACTGCCCACCGAGCTTGACACAGCCATGTCTCCCAGGCCTTTCCGAGCAACGATCACACTTGTGATGAGGTCAGGAATCGATGTGCCTGCTGCTAAGATTGTCAAACCCATAATCTCTTCAGAAATACCTATGGTTTCACCAACCTAGTAAACAGGAACAGTTAATGAAACACTATAGCAACAGGAGGTGAAAAACCTGACACTGGGTAGCACCAGCCACGCACTACCATGTGCAAATAGAGTACTTTCTGTGGAGCTTGGCCAGCTGAGAAAGAGGGATGGCCACAGAGATGCTCCAGGCTTCAGGAAAACATGCAGTTCTTCTCTGTCCTGATCATTCCTACTACACCATCTTCAAAGAACTACCCTGGCATTGGTGGTTCATGCCTGTCATCCTAGCTACTCAGGAGGCTGAGATCTGAGGATTGTGGTTCAAAGCCAGCCCAGGCAGGAAAGTCTGTGAGACTCTTATCTGTAATTAGCCTCCAGAAAACCAAAAGTAGAGCTGTGACTCAAGTGGTAGAGTGCTCGCCTTGAGCAAATAAGCTCAGGAACAGTGGCCAGTCCCTGAGTTCAAGCCCCAGAATCAGTGGGGGAAAAAAAGTGTTTATGTCAACATTTCCACTTTGAGAAAATGACCCCTGCTGTGTGCCAGGAGCTAAGAGGCTACAGATAGAAGTACAAACAATTCTGCACAGACCCTACTCAGCACAATGAGAGCAAAAGGTTTACAATTTCAGCTGTGTGTGAAATGCTAGTCCATGCAGAACTGAAAAGCCATGCATGCTCAGATCCAGAGTAGTTACAGCTAGCACATGAGGAACCTTCTGGATCATGCTACAGAGTGAATACCATGTCAGACAAAAGCCACACTTTAAAAGCACAATGCTTACACTACTAAAAATTACGTGTGTGTGTGTGTGTGTGTGTGTGCACGCGCACGCACGCACACATGTTTCAGTGCTAGAGCTTGGATATGTCTAAGCACTGTCCCTGAGCTTTTGTTCTCAAGGCTAGTGCTCTACCACTTAAGCCACAGCTCCATTTCTGGCTTTTTGGTGGTTAAGAGGAGATAAGAATATCATGGCTGGGGTGCTGGGAAGGTGGCTCAGTGGTAGAGCGCTTGCCTTGCATTCATGAGGCCCTGGGTTCGATTCCTCAGCACCACATAAGCAGAAAAAGCTGGAAGTGGTGCTGTGGCTCAAGTGGTAGAGCACTAGCCTTGAGCTGAAGAGCTGAGGGACAGCGCCCAGGCCCAGAGTTCAGGCACCATGACTGGCAAAAAAAAAAAAAAAAGAATATCATGGCTGGGAATGTAGCTTCATGGTAGAATGCTTGCCTAGCATGCATGAGGCCCTGGGTTCAATTCCTTGAAACCACAGACCCCAAAAAACAAATGAAATTGACTCCAAACTGGGAGCCTCAGAACTCAGCTTCCTGAGTAGCTAGGATTATAAGGCATGAGCCACTGGTTCGTGAAGCCTTCCTGAACAACAGGGAAAGCACAGGTCCACTTGAGCTTTGACACTGCCTTGTACTGGAACTGCAGCTGACGCCAAATTGAGTTCTTGCTGACCACTCACCTGGTGAGCCCACCACACCATGAGGTATGAGAACATGGCTATCCAAATGATGGATCCCAGGAAGGTGATAACAAAAAACTTCCTGGATTCCTGTTGGGAAGGATGGAAAGGAAGAGGAATAAGTTGCAAAGACTACTGGCCCTACACCCTCTGATAGAGGATCCCTACATATGCATGGAGCTGAGGTGCCCTGTCCAGTGAGCAAAGGAGACGGATGGGTAAGTATGGGGTGTAAGAGAGCCTGGCCAGCAGGGCATTCTGCAGTCACCATACAGAAGCGAGCTAGAACCAGATTCATAAGGGTGCTTGGCTTTTGTAAACCCCTCCCTGAACCTCTCTCCCCCTCCCCCCCACTTCTCTGGACCCAGACAAAGTACTCACTTCTTTGAATGGAATGCATCATTCAGACCCTCAGAATGGTAGAGACCTTGGTACCTTTAACCAGAGAAGAGCTGTTCTATAAAAGAATCACTGGGCTTAGCCAGGTGCTGATGGCTTATGTCTGCAATCCTAGCTGCTCAGGAGGCTGAGAGCTGAGGATGACAGTTCAAAGCCAGCCCAGGCAAGAAAGTCCATGAGAGTCCTATTTCCAATGAACCACCAGAAAACTGGAAGTGGAGCTATGGCTCGAAGTGGTAGAGTGCTAGCCTTGAGTAAAGAAGCTTGGGGACAGTCCCTAGACCTGACTTCAAGCCCCATTATGGATTATAAAGAAGGAAAAGGAGAAGAAGAAGAGGAAGAAGAAGAAGAAGAATTAGGCTTGGTAATGGGGGTTCAGAATACCCCTGTGAAGTATGGAAAGGGTATAGTGATATCATTCTCAAAATAAAAACAAAAGCTATGGTAGGAAGCCAGGAGGGACTGGCTCACGCCAGGATGTGTCCTGGCCAGGATCCTCTCCCTCATCCTCAGAGAGCCCTGTGCCAAGGTGAGTGTCCCTACCCTGTCCCTTTAGTTATGGGCCCAGGGTATCTAGATCCCCACAACCTCTTTCCCTGGGAAAGGAAGCGGGAGGAACACCTGGATCCACTCACCTCCCTGCGGACATCAGGTATTGTCAGCCACAGTGGGAACACAATGGGCAGGAGGAAGAGGTAAATGGCTTGCTTCTGCCTGGTGGCAGGCCATTCCAGGGACAGAGGCTCCTCGTCTCTCTCCTCCTCTTCCTCCTCCTCTTCCTCCTCTTCATCGTCCTCTTCATCTTCCTCCTCCTCTTCTTCACTCTCCCCTCCATCACTTCCCCCTTCACCATCTGCACCTTTCTCCTCCCCGTTGGTCGCTTCACCTTGATTCTCGGCATCAATTCCCTGGAGGTCAGTTTCACCTTCTTCACTTTGTATGTCACCATCCCCTGCTTGGATTTCTCCTTCATGTTCATCTGCTTTTCCTTCTGCTTCAGTTTCCCCTTCATGTTCATCTCCGTCTCCTTCTCCTTCACTTTCCCCTTCATGTTCATCTTTTACTCCTGCCTCACTTTCCCCTTCATGTTCGTCTCCTTTCTCTCCTGCCTCAGTTTCCCCTTTGTGTTCATCTCCTCTTGCCTCAGTTTCCTCTTCATGCTCATCTCCTCCTGCCTCCATTTCCCCATGATGGGCATCTTCTGCCTCAGTTTCCCCTTCATTTTCATCTCCTTTTCCTTTTGCCTCAGCTTCCCCTTCAGGTTCATCTCCTCTTGCCTCAGTTTCCCCTTCAGGTTCATCTCCTCCTGCCTCAGTTTCCCCTTCAGGGTCATCTGCTCCTGCTTCGGTTTCCCCTTCAGGTTCATCTCCTCCTGCCTCAGTTTCCCCTTCAGGTTCATCTCCTCCTGCCTCAGTTTCCCCTTCAGGGTCATCTGCTCCTGCTTCGGTTTCCCCTTCTGGTTGAGTTTCTCCTCCACTTTTCTCTTCAGTTCCACCTTCACCAGGAGTTCCACCCTCTTCACCTGTCACTTCTCTTTTGCTGTCTGCTCCAGGCACGCCTTCCTGCAATCCAAAGTCAACAGATGAATGTGTGGTAACTGTTCTGCTCATTTCCCTTCCCGTTTCTCCCTTTTTTGTTGTGGGGTGTTATTTTTGGTTGCTGTTCTATGAGTGTTATCAAAACACAAACATTCCAGGGAGAAAACTAACTCATTGTTCGGCTTTAATTGGGTCCTTTTCAGGGGTGGGGAACCTCTCACCACCTGCTTCTGCCATCTTTGACAGCTGTGTGGTATAAAGTCCATTTTTATATCAAAGCTCCTCTATTCTTCATGTATCTCTTCATTCTTTGAGACCACACAGAACACATATAATTATTCTTCCACAGGACAGCTCTTCCCTGGTTAATGATCCCAAGGTCCTTTTGCCATTCTAGAGATTATGTCTTGATGAACTCATTCTAAATAACTATAACCCTCGGGGACATCCATAATGAACCACAGAACATACACAAGACTCTCACCTCCCTTTCTAAGACAGTAGGCTTCCATTCATGTTGCCTATGGAGCATAGTCATGAATGAATAGCACCACGTTCTTTGGTGATCACAACATCTTGCTGAACCTACTAAAACTCTTAAGTTGTTATATTACATGTGTAAAATTGTGATGATGATACCTATTTATTGTACATTTTTATGTGCCAGGCATCATGGTGAGTGGCTTAATAATAATAACATTTACTATATTTTGTAACTCAGTTCATTATAGAGCTAGTATGATAGGGCTAGTGTTGTACCCCCCTTATAGATGGAGAAACGAGAGTAAAAAGAAGTTGAATCATTTGCCATGGCCCATTGTTTTTAAATTATAAAGTTGGGGCTTCAGTATGTATAGTCCAATTCTCAACCTCTTAACTGCTATGTCATCCTGCTTTACAAAAGCTAGAACTGAATGAGACCTCTGGATCCCCAAATCGATAGCCCTGGGGAACTTATTAGAAGTAGCAATTTCCTCCAGGCATCAGTGGCTCACACCTATAATCCTAGCTATTCAGGAGGCTGAGACCTGAGGATCATAGTTCATAGTCAGCCTGGTCAGGAAAACCCATGAGACTCTTATCTCCAGTAAACTACCAAAAAGCCAGAAATGGTGCTGTGGCTCAAAGTGGCAAAAGTGTGAGGCTTGAGCACAAAAGCTCAGGTACAGTGCCCAGGCCCTGAGTTAAAGTCCCAGGAGAGGTACACACAGAAAAAGCACTTCCAATTTCCTGTCTCTACATGTACCCATTGAGTTTGGATCTCTGGGACTGGGAGCCAGTCAGCAGTACTGAGTGTGCTCACAAGTGCTCCTAATGAGTTCATCTCCCAACCAGTGTCTGGGAACCTCAGGGCTGTCTCCTCCACGCTAAAAGCCATTGATTGTGAGGGTCTTCAGATTCGCTCTCAGCTAACCTATAACATGCTGGTCCCACTATCCCTTGAGTAGTGAGTGAGCTGGGCTGTGTGCTGTGGAGAAAACATCATCTGTAAGGAATGTCATGGTAACTGACAACCCCCAAAGGATGTTCAGTGATACTCAATACATACTAAAACTACCTGGAGGCTTTTAAAACCATTGATGCCCAAGGACCCACCCCAGATATTCTGATTTAATTCATAAGTGGGGGAGGAAGGCTGGTTTTTAAGTTTTTGCAGCCCTCTGATGAACCTGTGCTTTGAATTGGGTGTGAAGAGTAAGAAAGACTCCATTCTGAAATTATTCCTGCTTCCTTGACCCCTGCCTGGAGGAGATGAGAATTCATTTAAATCAAAACTATCTAGGTAAGAGACTTCCCATGACCACCTGCACCCTATTCTCTGAGGACTTTCCTCCACCAATAACCCCAACAGAATGGATGGCTCTCTTCTTTCTTGTTGTAGTCAAGGCCCCTGGTTTTCCCCAGATCCAGTCTGGATCCCTGATCTCCAGCTGAATAGATTCTTTTTAGACTAGTTACCAGTCACTAATTGATCCTCTGTATTCTAGAGGACTGCAGTGGTGGTTTAGGGGTACATACAAGTAAACAAACAAGGCCAGTGATGGAGGCTGCATCACTGTGTGTGTGTTGGGGGAGGGACAGTGACAGATCACAGATGCCTCTGATTAGGTCTGGCTCCTGTGACAGCACACTGTGCCCCGTCCCACACTGTGATTCCAGATACCTCTGTTCTGACTCCATCTTAGCTTGGGCTGGCCATTATGGGCCTACTCAGGACATTTGGGATACCCTGAAGAACTCTCACGATGCTGGACTGTGGGAGAGAGAGGACTGAAAGCTGCTGGGTATCAACTAGGAAAACAAAAGAATGGAGTTGAACCTTGCAAATCGAATACTTATTTACTGTGTGCCATTCAGCCTCGGTTCGATACAGCTTTAATTGGTGCATCAGTGAGGCTTTGTGGCAAAGGAGGCATTTACACCAGGCCTGGAGCGGGTGCTGAGTATCTAAAGATGGAGGTGAAGGTGTTCTAGGGAGAGGAAATCATGTAAGCAAGGCCTGGAGGTAGCTTGGGAGACAAGGAGTTTGGTTTGACCAGAGCACAGTAGGACAAGAGCCTATGAAGGTAGTGTTGGGTGGAGATCAGAAGACCCTGGGATTGAGGCAGGCTCCTGGCCACTGCAGCAGCAATCAGGAGTCTAGAAGGTTCTAAGAACTTGGCTCAGTAGCCATCCCACCACACTTCAAGCTCAGGACTAGCCTCGACTCACCATCCCCAAGTTCCTGACAACCAATGACTATGGCATGTGGCAGTTCACAAGGTGTTTTCATACCATCTGTCACACTGAGATGTCAGGTAAATATCCTGGCCCCAGGAGGTTGGCACTGGTTCAGGGGGATTCCAGAGAGAGGTTAAGGCTCTCTCCAGAGGAATAAAACTAAATCGATTTAGTTTCATTCCTACAGTTCTAAAAACAGGACTTCAGGCCTTTAGAGGGGAAGTCATTTGGGGCCAGAAAATCCTTCCCTGGGCCTTCTAAGTCCCTCCAGCTGTGCAGAGGCTGGGAGCCTACCTGACTGTCAGGATCTTCCTCCTGATCTCCCTTGACGTCTGGAGCAGGGGCTGGAGTGACCGTGACCGCAGGGAGCTCGGCTGGCTCCTCCTCTTTAAAGGACAAACATGGGTTAGGTCAGAAGAGTGGAGTGGGCTCTAAGAGCAGCTGGCAGAGACATGGGATGTGGGTGGCTACAGGGCTGCTGGGTGGCTAAAGGCCTGTTTGGGGAAATTTCTTGTCAGTAGGAAAAGCAAGATGATAGTTTGTGACCTGTTCTTGTCCTGTTTCCTGATAGGATAGTCGGGAAGTGGCCATCTTTGCTCCCCTGTATCCACGGACATCTCCTGACCATGATGGCCAAGGATGCTGCAAACAATTGGTGAACTGGAGCAGGGATCAGACTCACTTCCCAGCACTCAGGTTCTGCTTCTTTGGAAAGGATCCTGAGTGTGGCTTCGGGTAAGTCACTTGATCTCTTTGAACCTCAGTTTTCCTTGTTTATGGAACAAGAATTGCTGTGTGTCTGCCTTCCCCTGGGATTTACTGAATGGATTAGGAAGGCCTGGTGTGCAGAGCCTGTAAAGAACTAGCTGCCCCACTTCCCTAGTCCTAGCTACTGGACTTGTGTGTCACCACATATCTGATGGCTTTACCTGGCCACACTAGCCTTGTGCAGAAGCAACATGAAGAAGCGTCATTAAAAGAGTCTCATTTGGGATGCAATTCAGCAAGCAAAAACAAGTGATTGCTGAACAACCTGCTGGCCTCTCCTTGCCTTCCTCATCTAAGGAGGAGGCTGCAGAAACCATAGAGACAGCTCACAGCTGGCAGCCATATCCAAAAGAACATCCTACGTTGGGCACTGATGTTTCAAACCTGTAATCCTAGCTGAGAACTGAGGATTGTGGTTCCAAGTCAGCCTGGGTATGAAAGGCTATGCAGCTCTTATCTCCAATTAACGACCCAAAAGCCAGACATGGAGCTGTGGCTCAAGTGGTAGCCTTGAGTACAAAAAGTTCAGGGACAGTACCCAGGCCCTGAGTCCAAGGCCTGGGACCAGCACACACACACCAAAAGCATCCTTGAAGCAAGAGGCTAAAATGAAGCAGCCTACAGAACAACCTTAACTCATCGGACTGATTCAGAGCCAAAACATGTGCCCCAGTTTCTGGCCTGTGCTGGCTACGATGGGAGATGGCAGAAGAGAACTAGCGTGGCCATTCTCTCACCTTCTGGTTTGCATTCTGCCTTGGCCTGGGGCTGGGCTCTGGCCTCCTGGTTCAAGCTCTCCTGCTTGTCCTTGGAGGCTCGGGCTGCGAATGAGAAAGGAAATACATCTCATCTGAGATGACTGCATCCTCCCTGCCATGCCCTTGCAGTGACAACCAGAGCAGCAGAAGTGGAGGGAAAGGCTGGCCTGTGTGTGACGTCTGGTTCTGATCGTACTGGGCATCTTCATGGTGTCTAGGTCCCTACCCTGTCACTGACGATGAGCTTGGCAAGTCATTTTCCTTCCCAAGGCCTCTTTCCTCTCTGGTACAATGACTTGGTTGACCTCAGGAACAACAAATAGGATTTGTTCCTTCATAAATTCAGGTGATGGCTGTTTGAGTCTTAGATTCAGGAATCTGATCCAAACCTACCAGGATTGATTGGTGATGTCTGCTATGGGCAGAGAATGGAGAAATGATGACAGATCGATTTTGGCCACCCTAGAACTAGATGATCTGCAATGATGTTTGCAACTCATTTTCTGTGTATGAACTAGAAGTCAGGGCAGCATCATTTTGTGCATGCTGCTCCAGGGGGTCTGGTGGCTGTCTTCCCAAGCCTTCCCTCCCAGGTGGGAAGAAGAGCAAAGCTCTTGGTCACAACCCTTTTGATCCCAGACACCTGTATCCAGCCAGGGCCTCTCTCCAGGTCCCAGTGCACATGCTTGGCTGGAGTCCCACAGAGCATCATGAACCAAATGGCTGCTCTGATTTCTAGAAAAACACAGAAGGCACCTATCTTCTACTGTGACTGTGCCAGGAAACATGAAGTATGATTTCTAGGCAAGAGAGGGAGGAGGGAGCGGTGCAGCCTGGGAAGGGGAGGGAAAAGCAAAGGTGCCAATGAACAACCAGCTGGGGCCTCAGGACATCAGGCTGGCTCTGCCCTGCAGGTACCAGATCCTTTGAGAAGTCCATGCTGCCTCTCTAAGCGTTAGTGTCATCTTTCTACAAAAGCAACATTCACTGCACATCCTGAGGGTCCATGAGACAAAGTCCAAGTGCTTAATTGCTGCAAAGCCTCATCAGTACTGTTACTTAGCATGCTACTACTTCCATTACAGACATGGATTTAGCTGAGTGAAACAATTCATCCATAAAACCTTCCAGAGCCGGGCACTAGTGGCTCATGCCTGTAATCCTAACTACTCAGGAGGCTGAGATCTGAGGATCATGGTTTGAAGCCAGCCTGGGCATACAAATCTGATTCTTAACTCCTATTAACCAGCTAAAAGACAAAACTGGAGGTGTGGCTCAAGTGGTAGAGCACCAGCCTTGAGCAAAACAAAACAAAACAAAAAAAAAACCTTCCAGAGTGATCAACACATTATATAAATTTACACATGGCTGTGCATAAAAAAATGCCTGGGACCTAGAAATCACCATAGCAATGGTAGTGTTGTCATATGATATTATGCCATGTTACATGACAAATGATGGTGAGTTGACAGTCATGAACAGTGGTCTTACTCAGGAAACAGCTCTGCAGAGGATGTGAATCACAGGGGATTTGGTCATCTGTCCATACCACAGTCTTTGAGGAAACTGAGGACTTGTGGTCTGGAAAGTTGGGAAGATTAAGGCCTCTTTCTGTATCCAGGATAGGCAGGAAATCAAACATGTATGGAAGCCGGGCACTGCTGGCTCATGCTTGTAATCCTAGCTTCTCAGGAGGCTGAGATCTGAGGATCATGGTTCAAAGCCAGCCCAGGCAGGAAAGTCCGGGAGGATTTTATCTCCAATAAACCGCCAGAAAACCAGAAGTGGTGGTGTGGCTCACGTGGTAGAGCACTCACCTTGAGCTGAAGAGCTCAGGGATAGGGTCCAGGCACAGAGTTCAAGCCCCACAACCAACAGAAAAAAAAAAAAAGGTGTGGAATTTCCCCCTGCAAAAATCAGTCTCTCTTGCTCTCTTATAAGTGGATGAACCACTACTGGGACACGTGTAGTCCCCCAAGGTGTTCCTAATGCCAAAGCACATCTTCCCAGAGGTGTCAGGAAGCTGGCGTATCACTGTCTCCTTCATCCGGGCAACCCCAGTGCCCCCTTAGCATTGATCAAGGACCCCAGGTCATTGAGCGGTGTGTAGCTGCTGTGGAAGGCAAGCTTCCCTGAACACCAGGTGCTCACTGTTGGCTGGAGGGAAGGGGGAGGAAAAAAACAAATCTTTCTTTGTCTCACATCCCTCATCATATACCCTGACTTCTTATTTCCTGTGCCCCCAGGGTAAGAAGGTGAGCTTCAAGGTGCCCCCCCACTCCTGCTCTCTCCCACATCTGAGTGAGATGACCAAGAGATGTGGGGCCCTCTGGGTGCCAAAGGCTCATGCCTGTCATCCTAGCTACTCAGGAAGCTAAGAGCTGAGGATCGAGGTTCAAAGCCAGCCTATGCAGAAAGTCTATAAGACTCTTAGCTCCAATCAAATACCCAAAAGCCGGAAGTGGAGCGGTGGCTCAAGTGGTAGAGCACTAACCTTGAGCACAGAAAGCTCAGGACCCAGGACCAGCACGTGTGCGTGCGCGCGCGCACACACACACACACACACACACACACGAGATAAGCGGGAATCCTGGATCGGAAAAGCTCCTTCACAGAGAGGGAGAAGAGATTTCAGACCACAGGAAATGTCTCTCCTACTCATCAGCATTGTGGAGAGAGTTGGAACATATGCAAAGGATGGAAACATCTGGATGGATATCTGGAAGCAGCCTAGGGAAACAAACAAATGCCCAGAGAGTCCTGGGAATAAAGGTCTGCAGGGTCCTAGTCCCCTTTGGACCAGGCTGGGATCTCTGAGCGGCCTGCATTCCAGAGCATCAGCAGTCATTCACCTCAGATGTGCCCTGATCTGCCACACCCACAGTGTGCCTGGCATCCTGCCCTTGCCAGGAGTGATGTCATTGGCTTCCATGGCACTGCTTTCCTTATACCCCCTCTCTATGACCAGCGGCTGGATCATCTCCTTAGTGTCAATCTCCTCTGACCTCAGCTTGGCCTGAACATCATATAATCCTGTTAAGACAAGTAGGCCAGCTGACAGCTGTGGTCACAGAAATGGCCTAGGCAGGGAGCCCTGCGGTCCTGGGCAGGAGAAGGTCATTATCATCAGGGACTGGTTAGTCAGTGATTCCTTCCTTCCCTGGGCCCAGCCCTCATCAGAGGCGCTGTTTTTCTCCAGCCAACACTTTCCTCTCTAAGCATGTCTGCTGAAGCTCCCTTAAAGCATTTCTAAGGAAAAACTGAGACCCATCTTTGATACTGCTTTTGTCATTGTACAATCAGTATCATTATTTTCAACACCTGAAACCTAGTATTGAATCTAAAGAAGAAACTTTGGGCCTAAGGGGTGTGTGTGTGTGTGTGTGTGTGTGTGTGTCCGTGTGTCCTTCGACTTGAACTTGGGACCTGGGTACTGTCCCTGACCTGCTTTTGCTCAAGACTAGTGCTTTACCACTTTGAGCCATAGCTTCACTTCCAGTTTTCTGGTGGTCTATTACACATAAGACTCTCATAGACTTCCCTGTCCAGGCTGGCTCTGAACTGAGATCCTCAGATCTTAGCTCCTGAATAGCAAGGATTACAGGCATGAGACACCAGCCCCCGGCACCTGAGGAATTTCTAAGCCCCCAAAATGTGTCCTGGAACCAGAAAATCCCACAAGGTATTCCCTGGGGCTCAGTGGCTCATTCTGTTACATCAGACCCACCTACTGCCTAATTGCACAATGAGGCCTTGGCATTTTCTCAAAGGCAAATGGCCTCCTACTATTTGAATTCCCATCTGAACCAGCTCCCCAGAGGAGGAGGAGCTCAAGGAGAGTCTAAAAGGCACCCAAGGAGGGCCTGACAAAGGGTATGGAGGCAGGATTTGGTAAGGTGGGTGGTGAGCCTCTCAATTGTCATCATCTGTCAAGTTCAACCCCAGCCCCCACTGCACGTCACCCAGGTGATTTTGAGCTTCCCAGCTGGGTCCTAGGAGTTCAGAGCAAAGGGCAATGCTGTTCAAAGCTTTGGGACTGTGGGGTCCTAGAAGAGGCACACTCAGAAGCTGCAACCCTCAGTGGGATACTGAGGCTGGATCCCAGCCGAGACCGGAACAAGAGATCATAGCAATCATGGCCTAATTGCGGGTGATACCCTTCATTTCACAGAGGGCGACACTGGGGCAGGAAAGCAGTGGCATCTAGAAGTCCTTTGGCCCTCTTGTGAGTGTGGTGGGGTTTTTTTTGTTGTTGTTGTTGGGGTTTTTTTTGTTTTTGTTTTTAATTTTTTTGGTTTTGTGTTTTTTGGTCATAGGGCTTGAACTCAGGGCCCTGGGTGCTGTCCCTGAACTTTTGTGCTGAAGCCTAGCACTCTATCACTTTGAACCACAGCTCCACTTTTTTGATTTTTAGGTGATGGATTGAAAAATTAAAAAAAAAAAATCTCACAGACTTTCCTTCCCAGCCTGGCTTCCAACTTCGATCCTCAGATCTCAGCCTCCTGAGTAGCTAGGATTACAGGCGTGAGCCACCAGCGCGCAGCAGAGTGTCTAACTTCCATTCCCTTACTCTTCTCTGTGATCTGCCTCTTCCTTCCCACCCCCCCACCCTGCTGCGCTCAGATAAGCAGGTGCCAGGTCTTCTCTGGAGGCGGGAGGAAGGAATGGGCAGGGCAGCACAGTGGACTGGAGAAAGGCCTTGCTTACCTTCCCCCAGGGGGTCCAGGCTGTGGATCATGAGGTGGAAGATGGTACTGCGGATGATGCTGTTGTGCAGAGAGGCTGAACTGCTCCCTCGGATCAGCATGGACGGGAGCTGAGCAAGGGGAGAGCCATATACGCCTCAGTGGACCCCTGCCCAAGCCAGAGGAGCCACACCCACACAAGGGCCTTACTAAGCTGCCTCCTTCCCAAAGACACCCTGGGAGAAAGCACTGGAGCCTTCACTTCAGACCAGGAGGCTCTCCATCTTATTGAAGTTTGTACCTTCCAGCAAGTACACATGTCTAGAAACACCACCTAAGGCCCTCAGGGAGACCACTGGATGTGGGCACAGCCCTTTCGGGTTCATAGACTGATTGTGTTATCATCATCCTCAGGCTGTGAGCCCCGTGTAGAGAAAAGGAAAAAGTTCAAAGGATCTGCTCGACTCTAATATCAAGCATGGGGTCAGATTCGCTCTCAGATCTGATGATTCCCAGACCAGTTTTCCTTTTCTCCCCTACACTCAGAGATCATCACCGGCACAAACATCTAGACTGTATCCAGATGTGATGCACAGTTATAGCAACACACTCAACGATCAACTGATTCACAACCAACACTTCAGGCCAATTCTCCCTCCCATCCCTCTCCGTCTGACCTCTCCTGCCATCTAGTGGTTATGTGCAGTACTTCACAACAGGCCTAGAAAATCCCATGCATGTTGGAGGAGTCACACCTCGCCTCTCCTTTCCAAATTCCTCATCATGCTTTCCACATCCCATAAGCCAACGATGCAGTAACGTCACAATCTCAGAGTCACATTCCTTCACTGCCCATCCTATTTTTTTCTGAGTTCTGGAGCATTCTAAAGTCAATGTCTCCAGTAATGTTTGTTTTGTTTGGATCAATTGTGCAGCATTGAAGCTAGAAAGTAGGACTTGAGTGTCTCTAGTCCAAGGAGTCATTTGCAGATGCAAAGCCCAACAGTACACAGCAAACTACTGTGACCCTGGCCTCCCCGATCCACACCTCCTAGAAGGTGTATGGTGGGGGGGGGGGGAGGTGAGAGACCTTGACAAGGCAACCCAGCTCCCAGGAGTTTCCCAGGCCTGCGCATCATCAGGTTTCCCCAGAATCTGGGCCACTACGCCCAGGGTGTGCAGCTGAACCCCGAGACCCTGCCTTATTCCTGTTGGGAAGATTCCATACAGCGCCCACCTTCAGCTTCTTGTTGTCCTGCTGTTGTTCAGTCACCACTCCATCACTGGGCTGCAAATAAGAAGCACAAGAAAATAGGAGTCAAGAAAGGCCATGGGCAGCCAGGTGCTGGTGGCTCACACCTGTCATCCTAGCTACTCAGGAGGCTGAGATCTGAGGATCACGGTTCAAAGCCAGCCCGCGCAGGAAAGTCCATGAGACTCTTATCCCCAATTAGCCAGCAGAAAACCAGAAGTAGCACTGTGGCTCAAGTGGTAGAGTGCTAGCCTTGAGCTGAAGAGCTGAGGGACAGTGCCCAGGCTCAGAGTTCAGGCCCCATGACTGGGAAGAAAAATGCCATGGGAGACATTCCTTACTTTCTCCTTACTTCTCTCTGGGAAAGCTTCAGAGATAACTTGATGTTTGCCCTCTTCACTCACCTGAAAACCTCATTCCTTATGCCTCAGTCTCCCCTTCATTGTCATCTTTCATCTAAGTATGATTCACTTTTATAGGTGCCTCTGTGTGTGTGTGTGTGTGTGTGTGTGTGTGTGTATGAGTGCATGTGCAAGTGTGCATGTGTGCTTGAACTCAAAACTTCAGCCACATCTCCACTTCTGGCTTTTAAGTGGTTATTTGGAGATACAAGTCTTACAGATTTTCCTGCCTGGGCTGGCTTTGAACCACAGTCCTCAAATCTCAGCCTCCTAAATAGCTAGAATTGTAAGTATGAGCTACCAGCCCCTGGCCCTATTCTTGTCTTTTATTGTATTTTGCAAGGATTCGGTAAATATTTCTTAAATGAATCCTTGAATTTTCCTCCAAATACATTTAATCTATTCCAACTCTTCCTCCCCTCTTTCATCGATTTTCTACCACTAAAAAGACCTCGCTAGAGCTGGGAAGGTGGCTCAGTGGTAGAGTGCTTGCCTTGCATGCATGAGGCCCTGGGTTCAATTCCTCAGCACCACATAAGCAGAAAAAGTGGTGCTGTGGCTCAAGTGGTGGAGAGCTAGCCTTGAGCTGAAAAGCTAAGGGACAGCGCCCAGGCCCAGAGTTCAGGGCTCATGATGGAAAAAAAAGTAAAAGACCTCTCTATTCCTTCCTGCTTACCCAGTCCTATCCATTTTTCCCCCAGAAACTTCTGGGTGAGTTCCTGTATAAAGTTTCCTCAAATGTCCCCCTTCACCCCCACCCCCTCACTCCACTGACTGTGATTCTTCTCAAAATCCCGGATGGCAACAGTGGGCATCTTTGCAATGCTAAACGCTGGCTATGTGATCAGATCGGGGCTGGCCGGGCTGTTGGGAGAGCTATGGGACACAGGAGTAAGCAGGCCAACCCTGCATAAGGGAAGAAGAGGCATGAGGCCCATAGCACTTACCATCTGGACTGCTAGCCTGCCATTTTGCATTCCAGCCACTTAAACCATATGCTATTTGTCTATTTCAGCTAGACCCCACTATTTTGGTTGATTTGATGTGTGTGTGTGTGTGTGTGTGTGTGTGTGTGTTTAATCATGCAGCAAACTTACGATCTCTTTTCCCCTCACCTGTGGCATAATGTCTTTTACACACAGAGTAGGTGCTCCAGAAGGGTAAGCTAGATGAGTAGATATTCCCAAGTGGCTTCCAAGACCATCTGGAGGCATCAGGATCACTAATGGTGACCTTGTGATCTAGACTTTCCTATTCCTTGCCTCACCCCACCTCCATTGCCCCAACCTGAGGTGGACTTAACTATACTCTCTTCTCTGTTCAACTCAGAAAATAGAGAAAATAGTGCCTGATCTAGGACCTTCTACCCACCTGTCATTCTTCCAGTTCCTATTTACTGAAAATGCCATGCTGATAGCTTTAAGGATAAAATATGTTTAAGATATGGATTCTATGTCCAGAAAGAAATGGAGACAAATGTAACATAGACACAAGAATAAACTGTGGGCCTGGGCGCCAGTGGCTCAGGCCTGTAATCATAGCTACTCAGGAGGCTGAGATCTGAGGATCATAGCTCAAAGCCAGCCGGGGTAGGAAAGGCCATGAAACTCTTATCTCCAATAAACCTCCAGAAAACCAGAAGTGGTGCTGTGACACGGAGTGGTAGAGCAGTAGCCTTGAGCAAAAAAGCTCAGGGATGGTACAGAGGCCCTGAGTTCATGCCCTACAACCAACAACAACAACAACAAAAGTGGCTTGTGATATGCAATGAGTAGATAAATGGGTCAGGAAGAAATCCTGCCTTGGACAGAATCTGAGTTAAGTTCTGGAAGATAGGGAAGATTTGAATGTTGAGTATGTATGTTGCACATAACAACAGAAATAATGATGCATTTTAACCAATCTCCTGAATTCTCTCAAGACATATCTATTAAGTTTACTGGGATAAAGGAAGCTGTATACATGAACTTCCACTGTCTGAACCATCACCCCGTTTTTTCAGTTCAACCCTCATCCACAAAGTTTAAGGGTCTGGGCTACCTTTGGAGTTGGCTAATGAGGCCCACAAAGAGACTCCATGGTGAGCAATGATTTTTGTGCCTTTCAGATTGACATGAGCCAAAATATTTCTCTGAGGTTGGTTCAGTGCTCATGGCTAACTTTTTCTATGTTCTTCTAGCACAAAAGTCTTTTACCTCCCTTTACTTCTACTTTTTCTTCTCTTTTTTGCTTTTTTTGTGTGTGTGTGCTGATTTCAGGATTTAAACTCAGGGCCTGAGCACTGTCCTTGAGCTTTTTTGTTCAAGGCTGGTGCACTACCACTTGAGTCACAGCTCCACTTCCATCTTTTTGGTGGTTAATTGGAGATAAGATTCCATGGACTTTCCTGACCAGGCTGGCTTCCAACCATGATTCTCAGATCTCAACCTCCCAAGTAGCTAAGATTACCGACGTGAGCCACCAACGCCCTGTATAACCATTTTCTTATTCAGGACTACTAACACCATAAAATAGACAAGGCTAGAATTATTACTGCTACACTCAACCAAGACAGTGACAGAACCTTCCGGATTGCTTAGCTCTGTGGCTTATGTGGGAAGATGTGTTGTTTGATTTTTTTTTAATCTTTTCTCATTCTACAAAGTCCTATTTTCCTAAACATAATGAGGGAAGTAGTATTGAGTCTTCATTCCCTAGCAGCTCCATTTCAAATCATTGGCATTTCAGGCAGCTTCACATAAACATCAGATAAACACTTGAGTGGCCCAGGGACCCATTCAGCAAATCTGACAAGAAAGTGCTTTCTGAATCTGCCCTCATCACCAACACGATCCTACATTCCCCTCACAACACACCATCCTCCCCTGCTCTTTTCCATCCTCCTCATCCTTAGCAAAAGCAGCTGAGCACCAGTGGCTCATACCTGTAATCTTAGCTACTCAGGAGGCTGAGATCTGATGATTATGGTTCAAAGCAATGGAGTTGTGGCTCAAGTGGTAGAGTACTGGCCTTGAGCACAAAAGCTCAGGGACAGTGCTTAGGCCCTGAGTTTAAGCCCCAGGACCAGAACAAAAATTAAAGTCATTTGTTGCTTCTAAATTCCAACTAATTTAGGTAGCAGAACATCCAGATTTGCTGTTTTTTTAAATAGAATGTGAATAATCTAATTTTGTATTTAATCCCAGTATTTGTAGTAGGAGAAGCTGTTACTACATTGTACAAATGTCTGTAAAACCTCAATGATAAGCATATACGTGTCCGTGGAAACAAGCTGTCAGACTACTTGATCAGATATTTGGGTTTTCCTATAACTATCTGTTCCTTGTACATTTGTTCTGTCACTTGTACACTTATTCTGTCACGGGTGAGCACACACTAGTAGATGAAATCTCCCACAAGTCGTCCGAAGAAACATAATCATACAAGGAGAATCGATTATAACGCTCAGCTTCACACATGCTAAATAAGCACTGTAGCACAGAGCTACACCCCAGCCCTAGGAAGAGTGATCTAGAATTGTGAATTCTGGTGATGTTTTAGTCTAGCTTACTCAGGTGGCTAAAGCAGTAGGAAGGTAAACACTACTAAAGGAGTTGAAGGAAGAAGCCCCAGCTAGAATAGCTCTCTCAGAAAACAGCAGATTTCTTGAGGTCTGAGATTGGCCATAGATCACCAACCTGTGTCTACAGCTGGCAGCTCACCATATGATCACTGATAGAAGCCCTTAGGAGAAATACCAACCCTGACAACAAACAAGAGGACCAGTTCCTATGAAGAAATCAGGTTTGTCTGCTTGGAGTCTTGTTGGTTAATTTGCGTGTGTGCGTGCGTGCGTGCGTGTGTGCGTGTGTGTGTGTGTGTGTGTGTGTGTGTGTGATGTAGGTCCTGGGATTTGAACTCAGGGCCTAGGCTCTGTCCCTGAGCACTAGGATAGCAATCTACCACTTGAGCCACAGCTCTACTTTGGTTTTTCGGTGGTTAATTGGAGAGAAGAGTCTCACAGACTTTCCTGCCCAGGCTGGCTTTGAACCATGATCCTCAGATTTCAGTCTCCTGAGTAGCTAGGATTACAGGTATGAGCCACCAGCACCAGGCTAATGAAAATAAAAAAACTGCCAGGAAGAAAACAAGTCCCAGGAAAGAATAGTAGACATTCCCCCTGAATTTTACATTCTGAACTATTCCTGGGGGCAGAATTTTAGGGTAAAGGGGTTGATTCCAAAAGGGTTCAGACAAGGCCCATTCCCTTCCTTGGACTCGTTTTTCTGTGAGTGTTCCATGGCTCTGCCTTTCTGTGGATAGCTAGTCCTTCCTGGCTAATCTCCTAAATCCATGTATTTATGAAGAAGGACTCATCATTCTTCAAATATCAGTCAGGCTTTTCAACCAGTCTAGCTCTCATTGGCTTCCCTGTTGACTTTCTGTGATTATACATGGTCAAAGCACATCAAAGATCTGTTGTCTTATGCTAGTACAAATACAATGAGGGCTTCAAAATCATGTATAAAATTTCAATTGTGTTGTTACAAACATTTACCACTTCCTTATCAAGACCTCCAAAAGCCTCAAGCTGAGTACAATGGCTCAAACTTGTAATCCTAGCTACTTGGAAGGCAGAGATTAGGGAGAGTTTGAGGTCAGTTTGGAAAAAAATAATCCACAAGACTCAATGACTGGGTGCATTAGTACACACCTGCTATCTCAGATACAGAAGAAGTGCAATGACTAGGCCATGTGTTATATCCCAGAAGCTTGAGGAAACACAGATAGAATCACAGTCCAGGCTGGCAGAGCAATAAAGTGAGACCCTATCTCAAAAATTAACTAATACAAAAAGACTATACTCAAATGGTAGAGTACCTGCCTAGCAAGCACCAGGCCCTGATTTCAAATCCCAGTACTGCCAAAATGAGAGACACCTTCACACCAATATATGTCCATTTAACAATATTAGGTTATGCATTTTTGTTTTTGTTTTGGTAGGTCTTGAGGCTTGAACTCTGGGCCTACACATTGTCCCTTAGCTTTTCAGCCAAGGCTAGCGCTCTACTACTTGAGCCACAGTGCCACTTCTGGCTTTCTGGTGATTAATTGGAGATAAGAGTCTCATAGATTTACCTGCCTGGGCTGGTTTTGAACTTCAATCCTCAGATCTCAGCCTCATGAGTAGCTAGGATTACAGGCATGAGCCACTGACGCCCAGCCAGTTACATATTTTTATCTTTGAATTTTTCCAGGCAATATCAAAATAGACATTCTAAAGTTTTATATATATATATACATACATGTATATGCATATATTTGTGTGTATGTGTATATTTAAATTATACATATGTAATGTCTATACATGTATGTATATAGATTATATATATGAATTTGTGTATGTGTATTAAACCATATACATGCACATATGTATGTATAATACATATATAAATACATTTGTGTATAATCCATGTGTGTATTCATATGTATGTGTGTACATGTGTGCATACTATATACTATAAATATATACTAAATATGGTATATATAGTATAACATTATAATCAGTAGTCATTTTATTTTTCTAGCAGTAGTCAAGAATATTCTGATTATAATCCCTTTCACTCCCCCCAAAATACAAAACTTTACTTTGATTCTAGACACTCAGGGCAGAATAAACCGTAACATGAAGCCCTTCAGCTAGAAGTCCTTCAGTTAGAAAATGTACCCTCTCTGCTGAGTGTCTCCATGTGGTTTGGGCAGGAGAATGTCAACTCAAAATCAAACTGGATCTGTTTCAACACATAGATAAGAACATTGCTGCTACTAGAAGCTTTGAAGAGCCTCTGGAGTAGTTTTAAAATTCTGTTTTGAGGCTGGGTGCTGCTGGTGATTCATGCCTGTAATCCTACCTACTCAGGAGGCTGAGATCTGAGGACTGCAGTTCAAAGCCAGCCCAGGTAGGAAAGTCTGTAAGACTCTTATCTCCAGTAAACCACCAGAAAACTGGAAGTAGTGCTGTGGCTCAAAGTGGTAGAGCACTAGCCTTGAGCAAAAGAGCTCAGGGACAATACCCAGGCCCTGAGTTCAAGCCCCATGACTAACCAAAAAAAAGAAAAAGAAAAGAAATCTGTTTTGAAATCATTTACTGCATTTCATTTGCTAAGTAAATCACTTTAACGGTCTAGGTCTTGATGAAACTGAAAATTCAGAATTTGTAGAGTTTAAATAAAAGGAGATGTACTATGAAGAAGCAGGCAAGTCAGGGACATTTGGGACATTGTTAGACTGATCCATACCATGATGTTTTTTTCTCAGAGGAGAGACCAGGGCTTCCTCACCTCCACTCTCTGGGAACTTCACTGGGAGAGGGACTCCTGTTTCCTTCTTTTATACTATGCAACACGCTGGGTGCCCTTTCTATTTTAAGCTTGTGGCTTCCCAGAGCTGAGTGGAGACTGGGAGGCAGGGTTCAGCTGGCTTTATGACCCTGGGCAGAATTTTTCTCCTTTCTGGGCCATCTACAGCTGGCATCTGTCAGCCTAGCTACTCAGGAGGCTGAGATCTGAGGATCTTGGTTCAAAGTTAGCCCAGGCAGGAAAGTCCATGAGATTTTTTTCTCTTTGCCATTCCTGGGGCTTGAACTCAGGGCCTAGGCTCCGTGCCTGAGCCCCTCTGTGCTCAAGGCTAGCGCTCTACCACTTGAGCCACAGTACCATTTCTGGAGTTGGACGCTGTCATTTTCCCTCAAGAGGGAGGAAGGGACCTGTCTGTCATCACACAGTGAATTACAAGTCGAATCAGACTAGAGCCCAAGTGTTTTAGCCCTGGGTTCTCTGCTCTGACGGGACATCGCATGATTTCAAAATTGCTCAAGAGAGTAAACTTAATCTCGTTCCCCTCCCAGACATGGTGCTGAGATTTGTTTTGTTTTGTTTTTTCCTCCATCCTGCCCACTCATCAAAATTGCTCTGGATTAAGTAGCTAAGTCCTTGTACTCTTTGCACGCAAAACTTTACCCCATCAGTAGCCTCTCTGAGACCTGCAACAGGCACTCTGAGGCAGCCTGGGCCCAAATTCACCCTTTAGAAGAAGAGAACTGGGGTCTCTATCTCTAGGGGACCTTTACTTCCAAAGGAAAAAAAAAAAAAACACTTGGGGATAGATTTTCAGAGGTCATGTTCTGGATTTCATTTTAGCCTCCAGATAATTCAATCAGCCAATGAATTTAGCAGGCCAGGTCCCTTAAGAGGCAAATTCTGGACCAGGAAGCCCCAGTATTCCTGGTCCTGTCCCCAGGGCTGGCTTTTCAGTGGGTAAGTGCTTCTTTATTCTTTAAAAAAAAAAAACCATAAAAATTAAAAAGCTCTCCTCCTCTCCAACCCCCATCCAAGCCAACACACACACACACACACACACACACACACACACACACACATATAGAATTTGAACAAATAGGATTAAGTTAAAACGAGGGTGTTGCTCTGAAATTTGAAACCCATGCACACAGAAGAGTTGTTGGGTTATTCTTCCTGTCTAGAATCTCCTTGGACATTCTCCAAAGCCCCCAGTGAAATATTTCCAAGACTCAATTGGGCCAAGCTGGGTTGAGGTGTAAAGTAGACTGCTTGCTGTATGACCTTGAACAAATGTTGAGGTGGTGGTTGTTGTTGTTAGGTATTAAGATTTGAACTCAGGTACCCCACCATCTGAGCCACGTCCCTAAGCTTAACTTCTCTTTAGGCTCAATGTCCTCTCCTAAGAATGAGGATCATCATAAAAACCATTTTACAAGATGGTTAGAGGTTAACCCAAGGTCATACTTATAAATGCCCCAGCAGGCTATCTGCCAGTGTCTGCACTCTTGTAATGTGTTTAATAAATTGCAAGGAAACCCAAGTGCCCATCTCACCCCATTTCTGCATTTTGGTCTTTTTTTTTTTGTTAGTCCTGGGGCCTGGGCACTGTCCCTGAGCTTCTTTTTGCTCAAGGCTAGCACTGCACCACTTGAGCCACCACACCAGTTCTGGCTTTTTCTGTGTATGTGGTAGTGAGGAATCAAACTGAGGACTTCATGCATGCTAGGCAAGCACTCTACCACTAAGCCACATTCCCAGCCCCTACACTTTGGTCTTTGTTGTTGTTGTTTTTGTTCAGGTCCTGGGGCTTGAACTGAGGGCTTGAGTTCTGTACCTGAGCTATTGTGCTCAAGATTACTGCTCTATCCCTGGAACCACAACTCCACTTCTGTCTTTTTGCTGGTCAATTGGAAATAAGAGTCTCACAGACTTCCCCGCCTGGGCTGGCTTGGCACTTCGATTCTCAGATCTCAGCCTCCTGAGTTGGCTGAGAAGACAGGAGAAGCCACAAATGCCTGACTTCCCCTTTGGTCTCTGGCTCCTCCCCTTTCTCCATTCTTTCACTCCAAAGGCTCTAGAGACCCCTGAGCCAGCCCGTCCTTACCTTGCTGAAGTCCCCCAAAGCCATGACCTTGGCCACGGGCCTCCTGCTGAGCTGCTCTTTCACCCAGAGCTCAATCTGCTTGTTCCACTTCATTGTGAACACATAGAGGGCATAGGCCAGCAGCAGCAGCAGACTCTCCCACCAGGCAATGAGGCTGTCCAAGAAGAAGATGATGAGCATGGAGAGATCCAGGATGTAGAAGGACACATCACGGAATAAGGGCCACCAGGTGAGGTTGAGGATCTCCCGGGAGAACAGGGCACAGGTGCCAATGACAAAGAGGATGTTGAACACAGCCGAGCCCACAATGGTTCCGATGCCCACGTTGCTATGGGAAATGAAGACGCCGATGAGGGAGGTGAAGAGCTCAGGGGCCGAGCCTCCTGCAGCCATGAACGTAGCACCTGCCACATCCTCGGAGATCTGGAGTTTGTCGGTGATCACGCCCAGGGCTGGGACAAAATATTCGTCGCATACAATAGCCAAGGCTACAAACACGTACATCATGCCAAAGATGTGCAGAGCTACCCAGCCCTGTTGCCGCTCCTCCACGCTAAACAGATCTGGAGGGTACTCTGCCTTGGGGTGAAGCTCAGGCCAACTGGGTAGCAGCACTGAGGGGCTAGGCGCTTCTGGAAGCATGGCCGTTGTGAGGCTTGGGGAGGGGGCGATGGGCAGCGCTGGGGCTGGCTCCACAAACACACAGTGACTGACTTGAGTGGTTGGGTTTGCTTTGACTTTGGGGACTCCTGGGGTGCTGGGTGCTGTGGAAGGGTGTTTGGTCAGTTCCCAGGTGGTGGCTGAGGGTGTTCTAATAGGAGGTATACTGGTCTCGGGTGCAGGTCTCCTTGTATTCTGGGGAGCAGAAGATGCTTTGATTTTTGCCAGGATGTTGCCTGCCACGGTGTTGAGGGTCACTGGTCCCTCAGAGAGAGCTGAGGGGTGGTCCAGGATTGCCCCCTGGGGAGTTGTCTGGAGGTTTTTCCCCATTGCCCTCCAGAAACTGACTGGGTTGTGATTACCTTCCAGCCTTTTGGAGCTGGTCAGGGTGTTTGTTTCCATGCTACTCCTTGGAGAAGTTAAGGTGCTTGTTTCTACCACCTCAGGGGTCAGGAGAGTTGGGGTGCTCGGAACTATTTGCTTGGGAGTCACTGCAGGGGTGTCTTGCAGAATTCTCTTGGAAGAGCTGGTCTCCAGTATCTTATTGGCTCTCCAAGGTGCACTGTCTTTCTCCGTTGCCCTGGTCACGTGGCTTATTTCTGTGGCCATGGATATGGAAGGTACGGAAGTATCCATTTCCCCAGAAGGGGATGGGGTGTATTTCTTTTCCTTTCCCCTGGCTTGTGTTGGGCTGCTGCTCTTCCTTTCTCCCTTGGGTGTTGGGGTGTAATATCTTCCCATTTGTCCACTTGAAGTTGGGGTGTTGTGATTTAGTACTCCAGTAGGTGTGGGTAGGGGGTTTTCCCTCGCTCTTTCTGTGCGTGTGGCTGTTGGGCTGTAATTATTCTTTGGTGCTGGTGGAGTGATCTCGTTGGTGGTTCTGGGTATACTACGAGGGCTGTCCATGGTTCTGCTAGGTGCTGCTTCATCAGTGGTGTCTGTGGCTTGGGGTGCCAGTGTCTCCCCCTCCATTTCTGAGCTAGCTTTCAGAGGATGATCATTCACCACCATCTCATCGCTGGACAGGTCCCGGCTGGCCAATTTTATAGACTGTTGGGAAGAGACCTCTGTCCACAGTGAGGAAAGGCCCCGGGGTCTCCTCAGGTGCTGATAGGTGGAGCTGATGATCAACATTCCTAACAGGAAGAGGAAACGACTCCATTGAAGCCGCTTGGGTCGCAGTAACCGCCTCTCCTGGGCCCCCATCCTCAGCACCTTCCCCATAATGGCCAATTGTGTCTGGTTAAAGAAGGCCACTCATTCTGTCCTTGGAGAGATGGAGGATGATCTGGGATTCAGATTGGTGAGCAGAGAAGATTTCTCCATGAAGCCCAGCCAGGAGAGAGTCACAAACCTAGCAGGGTGTGAAGAAGGTCATGAGAAGTTATTTAACTCAAAGAGGAGATCTGGGATGCACTACGCTGTAATCTGGAAAGGAGTGATGAGCGACATCGAGGGATACAAAAGTATCATATAGGGAAGGGGGCTTTGTGGCGGGCCATACTTGCTTCTGCTGGAGACAAACCATTTCTGCTCTCTGATCCAGTGGGCAATGACTATACTCAGGAGAAAGGGTACCTAGGAGTTTCCTTGCTGCATAGGCATGCCCAGGCCCCTGAGCTGAGTCCCGGGTGCTCTGTGGAGTTCTACTCAGTCCTCCATGGGCTCCCTTGCAGAGGATCTCCCAATATGCCTCACTCAAGTCCAAGCTTCAACTGCTGGCAGCTCAGTCTTGCACAGCTGGTAGCCAGGCCACAGATCTCAGCTTACCAAAGGCATCAGGACATGGGGATTGAAACCGTAGAAGATAGGTAGCAGTGAATGGCTCTGCCAGGGATAGGAAGGCCCCACGTATGTGGGGTTTTCCAGTACGGTGTGGTGGGAGGAGCCTGGGAGAGGTCTGGATTCTAATTCTGCTGTCTACCAGCTGTGGCCTCCTGAGAAGACTGGCCCTTTACAGCCTCATCTATGATATGGCCATGATACCAGACATATGGGTCATGCAAAAGATATCTCTGGAAGGACATCTGTGGAAAGGAAATGGAAGATCCAAGAGATCCAAGATCAGGGAGATCATCTTTACATGGTCTAGCCTTCTTGGTTGGTTCTTTGAGTCATGTTAATATTATCTTTTAAATTTAATTTTAATACTAATATCCATATGGGCAGTAATAATACTTGGGTCATAGGGATGCTGAGAGAATTTCAGCTAATGTCTGTGAAGAGTATTAGATGGTTATCAAGTGTTACATGGGGGTTAATTTTACACAAGGATGCAGAAGAGGAGATCACCACACTCAAAGCTCATCATGTTAAACGGCACCAGTGGCTCATGCCTGTAATCCTAGCTACTCAGGAAGCTGAAATTTGAGAATCTCCAGCCTAGGCAGGAGAGTCCATGAGACTCATTCCAGTTAACCACCATAAATCCAGAGTGGAGCTGTGGCTCAAGTAGTAGAGTGCTAGCCTTGAGCTTAAAAGCTCAAGGACAGTGCCCAGGCCTGAGTTCAAGCCCCAGGACCAGCACACACACACACACACACACACACACACACACACACTCATGTTATAAAGGAAATTGAGGCCCAGTACAAGTTGATATTTATTAAATCTCTAACGGCTATCTATACATATTAGAAAACAAAATCTAGGAAATATTAGGCATGCATCTAACAGAAATACATTAGAAGTGAGTTGAGTAAATTGAGTGTGGTAGTTCATGCCTGTAATCTTAACTACTTAGGAAGTGAGGATGGGAAGGATGATAGTTCATGGCTAGCCCAGGTACTGCCCCCCCCTCCCCCGCACAAAAGTAAGGCAAGACATCACTGGGCATGTGCATAATATAGCCATCTATGGGAGGATCATGGTTCAGGATATCCTCAAGCAAAAACATGATCCCCTATCTAAAAAGTAGCTTAGGGCTGTCTGGTGGGGGTGGGGAGAATCAGCGTAAGGGAGAAAGGAAAGTGTAGAAAATTGAAATATGTATTTATATTTGTATATATATTTAACATTATATTAGTATATGATGTAGATTAGAGGAGATGTATATTAGAGGAGATAGCACAATGAAGAGGGAAGAAGGGGGAAGAAAGGGTTAAAAGAAGTTCCACTAGGGGTGACCCTTATTCACAGCACACTGAATTCATCTATAGAATTGTCACAGTGAAGTGTCTTTCTATTCATGCATGCTAATTTTAAAAAAAAACAGCCTTCAGGTGGATGCTAGTGGCTCACATCTGTAATCCTAGCTACCCAGGATGCTGAAATCTAAAGATCACGGTTCAAAGCCAGGCTGGACAGGAAAGTCTGTGAGACTCTTAGCTCCAATGAGCCACTAGAAAACCAGGAATGAAGCTGTGGTTCAAAGTGGCAGAGCACTAGCCTTGAGCAAAAGAGTTCAGGGACAGCGTCCTGCCCCATGACAGACAAAACTCAGCTAAACTTAAAAACAAAACAAAAACCTTAAAAAAAAAACTAACCTGGAGGAAAAAAAAGCTGAAGGTATGGTTCAAGCGGTAGAATGCCTGCCTAGCAAGCCCAAGGCTCTGAGTTCAAATCCCAGACACACAGTGAACTGAATAACCCATAGAATCTGTGTGCTACAATTCCTTGTGTAGTAAGACCAGAAGATAATGGGGTCCAGAGAAAAAAAAACTAATTAGGCATGCAAATGCATTTGTCTTTAAAAGCAAAGAGAACCAGGAGGAGGAATTAAATCGATGTGAACTTCCTTCTTTATCCTGACTGTTACGGTTTTTCTCTGCTTCCCCTCCCCACCCCCCCCAGCTACCCTGCCCCTTGTCAAACTCAGCCCCTGGTAGCAAGTTTACAGAACTCTCGGCAGGTCTCTGTCCTTGTGTTGTCTCTGTACTGGCTGAGCGCTGCTACCTACATGCCATTTACCTTGAAATCTTCCCATCTGTGTCTTCTCAATTCTGGAAATGTATCCAAATCCAGGGTTTTGAAGGGTGGGGTATAAAGCTGGACAGCAAGGAATACTCCATTCCTCTTCCCCCTGCAGAATCCTCACCAAAGGCAGGGTCGAACGTGAAGGGCATGTTGGGGTGACAAGGGGGAGAGAATATCCAATCCTGGCTAATACCCAAGTCCTCCTAAGAAGCTTATCAGGGCATTGTGCAAGTTCTGGGTCCCAGTGCTTCAGACACAGCCTGAGGGGGTAGCCCTTCTCCCAGGATCTTGCCCCTAATGTCTGTGGGAAACATCTCTGATTGGATTCTAAGCTGTTGGGAATAAGAGGCTGTCCAGAGCTACTAGGCTCAGGTGGAGGAAAAGATGTGGGATTATTCAGAGGCTGCTCTGAGCAAACCAAGGGGGAAAGTATGTGAAGATTAAGAGATCAGAAGATTTTGGCTCACACCCAGATTTATTTGCTGCTACTTGGTGATTCTCAATATAGATATATAGAAAACTATACCTGCCTTACCACTCTAGAGTGGCTAGGAGAATGAAAATTAAACGAGAAATCAAGTGGCAGTGGCTCACACCTGTAATCCAAGCTACTAAGGAGGCTGAGATCTGAGGACCATGGTTCGAAGCCAGCCCAAGCAGGAAACTCCACAAGACTCTAATATCCAATTAACTCCCAAAAAAGTCAGAAGTGGAACTGTGGCTCACATAGTCGAGAGCTAGCCTTGAGCAAAAATGCTCAGGGACAGTGCCAAGGCCTGAAGTTCAAGCCTCAGGACCAGCACACACACACACACACACACACACACCACTGAGGGAAAATACTGTGCAAACTTTAAAGTATTTTGCACATGAAGTATGCTCCAGTGGCATACAGGAAATCCTCGGGAAAACAGTGAGGACATTGAAGGGGCGCCCAAGTGAGCTCTCTGAAGTCCTGCACTTCCAAGTCACCACTTGGCTTTAGAATTCTTTTTGTATTAGTGGCAGAGTTTGAACTCCAGGGCCTCCTACTCTTGCTTGGCTTCTTTGCTCTACCCCTTGAGTCATGCCTCCAATCCAGGCAAATCTCCATGATTGGGAGCTGATCCAAATGGAAATGAAGAGCCTCATAATGGATGGACCTGGAAACTATTTCCATCCCTCAGCTAAGGGGGCCTAATATTTCCTGAGCTCCTCTTTTCCCTCCCCTCCTCCTTCCCCACAGCTTCATTGGCACCCCCACCCCCAACCCTGAGAAACCTGGGATTCTGGGAAGGTAATTCACTATCTCCCCTGAAGCTGCAGCCAGCCCCACCCCTGGGGGAGGAGCTAGGGTGATCTGGTTCCCTGGGAAAGAGCAGAGCTCAGCCCTCAGCCTTGCAAATGCTGCCATGGGCACAAACCAGATCTGATTTCTTCCTTTCTCATTATAACTTCCAGCACTCTCTACCTGGCTCACAACCATGAGAAAAGGAACATAATTCATGGGGTGGAATTAGGAATGATTTTTTTGTTTCTGGAAGGAAAGGACAATTCTCTATTTATACAATGTGATTTATGCAAGATAGAAAACTCACAGGAAATGCCCAGAGCCAATGGCTCAGGCCTGTAAATCCTAGGTACTCAGGAGGCTGAGATCTGAGGATGATGGTTCGAAGCCAGCCTGGGCAGGAAACTCTGTGAGACTCTTACTGCCAAATAACAACCAAAAGGATGGAAGTGGAGCTGTGGTTCATGTGGTAGAGTGCTGGCCTTGAGCAAAAAAAACTAAGTGTTCAAGCCCAAGACTGGCACAAAAAAAAAAGAGGAAGGGAGGGAGGGAGGAAGGAAGGAAGGGAGGAAGGGAGAGAGGGAGGGAGGGAGGGAAGAGAAGGAGGGAAGGGAAGGAGGGAAGAAGAGAGGGAGAGAGAGAAAGAGAGGAAGGAGAAAAAAATTCGTAGGTGAAGCAAATTCCCAGAAAAGAAATTCCTTTCTTTCATGTACTCATAAATGTTGCCAGTGAGCTGTTCCTAGCGTCTAACCTAAACCTTACTTAATGGAAGTGAATTCAATCCTCTGCTTATTCTATAGGGTTGGAACATTCTAGAATGCCATCAGCTATATAAAAGTTTACTGGGGGGGGCGGGGAGGATTGGGGGGACTGGAAGGGGAGGATGGGAAGGGATGGGAAGGGGAAACAAAGGAGGAAGCTACAATGCTTGATAAGAAATGTACTCATTATCTTGCCCATGTAATTGTAACCCCTCTGTACAGTATTTTCACAATTAAAATTTTTTTAAAGTAAAAAAAAAAATAAAAGTTTACTGTTT